ATAGAATACATCTTTTCCTATCTGTTGCTTCATCTCAGGTAAGCCTTTCTCTTCATTTCCCTTGCCGTGTCCTTTCCCCCTCTCTTCCGCGTACCAGACAATCCCAATGCCCATCCCCCTCCATCATCGTCATCCGCCGCTTCCCCTCCTTTTCTGGCCGCGATCCCGATCGCAAAATGGCGGGGTGTTGGCGGCTGGAGGCTCTGCATGTTCAGGACTTTATCCCGGACATGGGTACGCGCGCTGAATGGCCGAGTCTGGTTGGGAAGGTTGAGAGGGTGTGAGGAGGGATCCTCCTCGTTCCCTTTCCCCCTCCATAACCGCCCGTCTAGACTGCGCTCTGGGAACGCAACGCAGGCAGGCTGTCCACGGCTAGCTGAGTGGAGGATCCGGCTGAATCACCACCCGCTGTTACCAAGCCTCCCCCGATCGTCGCAATGCATCCTGGTCTTGGGGGGTGCGTAATGATTAGGGGTCGTGATGGCTGGGAATTTCGACTTGTTTTTCCTTCTTCCTTCAACGGCCCTCATGATGCTGGGAGACCTGATACGTATGACGGGGATTTCCCGGCAAACCAGGGAAAGGAGGGGAGGCGTTATCGCTTCCGTGTTCCTTGCACCACTTGACTTCACAGCCTCACTTTTGCCCTGTGACTGCCTCCTGCCCCTCGCTTCTCTGCACTATCGATTCTGGTCTACTGTGGCGCTTCCTCCCCAGTCGCCCGCACTCTATATCCGGAAATCTATTTATTCGCAATCTCGCCCACTAACATCTCTTCTCTCATTCAGATAATCTTTCACAATGGGTCACGAAGATGCTGTCTACCTCGCCAAGCTCGCCGAGCAGGCTGAGCGCTACGAAGGTGCGTCATTGTCCCTCTCTCCAACCGCCCACTTCGCGGCTACGAGACTCGTCTCATACTAACATGGCCGCCCTGTTCCACAGAGATGGTCGAGAACATGAAGGTCGTTGCCTCCGCCGATGTAGAGCTCACCGTCGAGGAGCGGAATCTCCTGTCTGTCGCCTACAAGAACGTCATCGGTGCCCGCCGTGCGTCCTGGAGAATCGTCACCTCCATCGAACAAAAAGAAGAGTCCAAGGGCAACGAGTCCCAGGTCTCCCTCATCAAGGAGTACCGTCAGAAGATCGAGGCTGAGCTGGCCAAGATCTGCGATGATATCCTCGAGGTTCTCGACAAGCACCTGATCCCCTCTGCCCAGAGCGGCGAGTCCAAGGTCTTCTACCACAAGATGTGCGTTGCGACCCACGCTATTCCCACTCTCGATGCGATCGCGATCCATGACTGACGTGTTTTTTTGCCCCGTCTATTAGGAAGGGTGACTACCACCGTTACCTTGCCGAGTTCGCCGTTGGCGACCGCCGCAAGGGCGCCGCCGATGCTTCCCTCGAGGCCTACAAGGCCGCCACTGAGGTTGCCCAGACCGACCTTGCTCCCACCCACCCCATCCGTCTCGGTCTCGCCCTGAACTTCTCCGTCTTCTACTACGAGATCCTCAACTCCCCCGACCAGGCTTGCCATCTGGCCAAGCTTGCTTTCGACGATGCCATTGCTGGTACGTGTGGACGCTGCTGCTTGACTGTCGAACCGGAGGCTAACAGACATTGCAGAGCTCGACACCCTGAGCGAGGAGAGCTACAAGGACTCCACCCTGATCATGCAGCTCCTCAGAGACAACCTGGTAAGTTGATGCGGTCGCACTCGTGTTTTTGAAACATGCTAACACTCGGTAGACTCTGTGGACCTCGTCCGAGGCCGAGCCCGCCGCCGAGGCGAGCGCCCCCGCCGAGAAGAAGGATGAGGCCCCCGCTGAGGGCGAGAAGCCCGCCGAGTAAATTCATTAAAGATGACAAAGGACTCGCGTCCGGACTTGGATAGGGTCGGCCGGCCGACAATCTGGATCTTAGACTCAGAAGGCCTGGGGTAGGAAGAGGATGATGAAGCCATTGCGCGCTTTGGGGTTCGTTCTATCCGGCGAGCCCGGAAGGGATGGGGCTTTGTCGGCCATTCACTGGCTGATAGGCCATGAACTTTGGAGTCATGCATTGGATCTCTCGTCGCCTTCTTCGTCCCTGCTGGCCTTTTGGTGGCTTCATTTGATGCCGTCAGTGGTCTCGGTCTGGTCTCTATGTCCTCGGATTGTCGCGGGCTTCTTTTTATATCTTTATGATTTCGATTTTTGCCTATTGTCGCAATTCCCCCCCAAAGAATACCTTTCCTTGCCATCCACCCGCACTTCCACCCTAGTCAGTTCCCACCAGGACGTTGACTCTTGCTTCCCGAACTCTCTTGGTTTTACCCACCTTGTGCCACGTACGGCGTTTGTTTGTCGCCTTAGCTGAGTTTAGATCTAAAGCCCGGCAGTGGCTAAAGAAATTTGAAATTTATGATCAAACATGACAATTCGTAGAATTTCTCACATACAGAAAGAGAAGAGAGAATGGAAGTATGAACCAAAGAGCGAACCAAATCCCGAACCGAACCCATTCTATGAATAACCGACATGCATGCATACTTCCATCCCTCGCGGATACTCCGGACTCCCCTTCCGGGAGGACTGTATGATATTTCTGTATTGCATACAACGCACATGCATACATGCATACCATCCCATCCAACCAACTTTTTATCCCTCGATCAAAAGTACAATGCAGTATGCACGCAGCATTGTAGAGTTTTTCCATCCCCCCTTTGTTTGACTTCAATGAGGCTAGTAGTTTAGTAAGTAGGGTTAGAGCTATGTATAGATCACAACCCATTTTCAATTTTGTGTTTGGAAAAAGTGAAAAGTACTATGTACATACATGCATGTAAGGACTACTACTACTACTACTACTACTACTACTACTACTACTGGAAAGTTGTACTAATTGGTACAAATAGATTTACGTATGCATCTTGGGAGTTTAAGTACGGAGTACTGGGTTAGTTTAGTTACTTGATCGGATGTTGAGGGTTGATGATGATGATGATGAAGCAAGCTACTGCTGCAAACTAGTAGTACTTATAGTAGGTGGGTTGTTATGGATGTTAGTGATTGACTGACTGACTGACTTCAAAACTTGTAACCTGATCAAGTTCATGGATCATTAGCAGAAGTAGTAACAGTAGAACATGAGCATCATGATTTACTATTTACTCAGGAAGAAAACTAGTTACCACAGTAGTTAAAAGGATTAGGTAGTGTTGATATTCATCCATCTACTTTGAACATACTTAGGCTTTCTTTATCTGCAAGCAAGGATGGCCGGATTTCTTCTATGACTTTACTTACGTACTCGACCAGACTAAGACAACTTACTACACATGGCTTGATTGAAAAAACAAAAAGTCGTAGAGAGTATTCCATTTTCTCTATTCGAGGAAGTTGAAATTACTTGTTTGAGATTAGAATCTAATTATTTAACTAGTAAGTATACATTCTATTTGGATATCATACTACTTCCTTACTAGACAACAGTTCAACGGTGAAATTCAGACTAAACTATGAAGTTAAGTTCATGCTGCAGATAGATAGAATATCAAGATCAGTACTTAATTGGTGTTATTCCTGCGTAGAAGAAGATGATGTGTGTACCCTAACCACCAAACCAATAATCGACTGACCTCACCAAGTAAGAGAGGTAAACTACCAACCCCAAGCTTAACTAATATCATTTCAAAAGATCCTAACTCAAGACATCACCTACACATCCCCACACATCCTCAACAGGGACTCAAAGTACAAAGTAAAAGTACGATAATAGTAGTGCACAATCCACTTCCCCCCACCACCACCTATCTAGTCTATAGTCTAATACAATATACCCCGAAGTACTCCGTAGACCCTAACTAACTACTCCGTACTTTCTCCAATTATTCCCACTAAGGAAATACGTACGTGAGTGGATAGGCATAAGAAGACTCCTCAAAGCCGAGTGAAGAAAGACTGGGGCGGGGGGGGGGGGGGAGGGCTGCAAACGTACGATCGACCGACCGAATTCAGTATATGTTGACGATGATGGGCGGTGATGGATGTGAAGAATTAGTGGACAGGTATGAAACGGGGTAATCTTGGTCAATTTCTGGGTGTTCTGGTTTGATGAAAGGACTTCCGTGTGGGTTGTTGTCCCCCCATTGACGTGTCGAGCTGTCAACTAGACTAGGAAAATGCGGTGTGATCACTTGGTACTTCGTAGGTATGCATATACTGTACAAAGTACGGAATACTGGTTGTCGCAATACATACACATCGGTTACAACTACAATCTATTCTGGAGGACTCGGTTTTGTCAATTTGTTTCTCATTTAATGTATCAACCGCTCGCTTCTGGGTATGTAAGCAAATGTCTTCAGAGCCAAACGAAAATCAAACCAAGTCGAATCTGAATCGTCAGTCCGGGACGATTCCAATATACATGTCGATGGGCAAGGAGGCGGTGGGGGATGGGGTGGGAAGAGATTGGGGAAAAGGGATGAGGAGGAGAGGCGGCGATGAAACAGGATGGGGAGAGGATGAGGATGATGTAAACCACATGAAGATTGGCTGCTCCGTGAAAATGCTTTCCCGCCTTTTTGCAGACCTTTGCAAACAAATGCGCCCAGTGCGGTTCCAAATGTCAGAAAGTGATGAAATGAACACAACAAGTCTAAATAACGGTTCCCAGTCAAGTGTCCCAACGCCGCGCGTGCTATGCCAATACACAAAGCCTCCGGTATGATATGACAGATAGGAAAGTAAGAATAGAGGGATCAAAAGAAAAAGAAAAAAAGGAGAAAAAAAGGTAAAAAACAGAATATGAACAGAAGAAGAAAGGTAAGACCAGAGCACAAAAAGAGTATGTCTGAGTCGTGCACCGGATCGCTGCCAAGACGGTAGGCGTCGATCAAATTCCCTGGTAACCCCCGGCATGTGTGGATGATGTCACGACCGCAGCAGCTTCTGCGAACCCTCAAACCACACGCGGAGCGCATTGACGTGGGTGGCCATTGGTGAAGAACATCCAGCGTCGTCAGCAGATTACGGGTAGCAATTTGGAGGTGAAGGTATGGGGCTGTTCATCGTGATCAACCGCCATGTCCCAGTTGCACGATCAGGTCCGTCCAGTAGAGTGAAGAAACGAATCGAAGTAAGGGATCCATTTGCGAAGTTCACACCTCGGGGCTTCAGCGTTGCACAAGGTTCCACCTGATGAAGCCGCAGATGTCATTTCGGCATCCCAGACACGAAGCAGTAAGTCCAAGCGGATCTTCGCGCGCATGTATCGTGTCGTATTGCTGCTCAAGTATGCGCGGCAGCCAAGAGCGTCCCATTCCGACATATGTGAGACACCTGCAGTATGTAGCGAAGAAGTGTGGCATTCACCCAAGGTCGAGGATTCATGAGGTGAATGAGAGACGTCAAGGTCATCGCATAGAAGGTTTGAGGTTTCGTAAATTTGATCTTATCGTTCGCTTTCTCCAGGGCAGCGAATTCCCGACCGCTTATCTGTATCGAATAGCCGGGATGATGATGCGGCGTCGGAGCTATTTCTGCGACTTTTTGACCTTGGTGCTACTCCTTGTCATTTCGCTCTTGGTCATGTTGCGGGTTAATCCACCAATGTAGTCTTGAAGGAATCGGTTCTCGCTTTCGAGCTTATCATGGTCGGATTTGACGGCTTCGATACGTTCGGCAAGCGCCTGAAGGGAGGACTGGAGGGCCTTGGCTTGTCTGCCGAGAACACGTAACACATTAGCATCGCTTCTTTCCCCCTTTCTGGTCTCTAGCGTCACTTGGCCAGAGGTTTCGGGGAATTGTCATTCGACTACTCACTCTTGTAGTGTCTGCCTGGCTTCCTTGCCCAGTCGCTCCAAATCAGCCGAGTTGCGTCGAGGACTCATAGCGCGCGCGTCGTCAGGGGGGAATTCCTCTTCTTCGATTTCGATTTCAGGATGATCCCGTGGAACTAGTATTGAGGCACTCGGTTTCCGACTGGCCATACGAGGTCTCTCGGAGCGTCCTCTACGTTCGGTTTCGGCGTCGGAGATGGAGGATGATGATGATGAGAGAGAAGACATGTGTGAACGACCGTTGTCGTTGGGCTGGGGCAGGGTTGGCACAGGAGAAGAACCGTGCACATCTGATGTTGACGCCATGGTTTTTTCAGACTCTGGTGGTGGCGCCGGTGGTTGAATTAAAGAGTTTCTGTGGTTGACGGTGGCTTGGAAGCGAATAAGAAAAAGTCTCGGGGCGGTCGCTGAGGCAGGCTTTCCACGGTCGAGGGGTAACGGAATAGAACTACTCCCGCAAAGAAACGATTTCCAACACAGCAATTGAATATCTTCTTCACAGCTGGGCTGTGACTACCTCTAGCGATGACTTCAGATGGGAAGATCTGCGTTGTCGCTGGAGGTAGCTGGTGTAAGAGCGAGAGGTGGGTTGTTTCCCAGGGCGGCTGTTTCGTCGAGGATTCTCGGGCCGGAAAAAGTAAAAAAAGGACAACGAAAACAGCAGGGAAGAAGCAAACAGGTTCCGGCTGCCAGGGAGGAAGAGATCTCGAGGAAGAGATCAGATCAGATTTCGAGACGAGAGGGGAGGCAGAGTTGGAGAATTAAAGTCGGTCAAAGGGGAGAGAGAGAGAGAGCGACTTTGAGGGGGGGAAGAGAGGGACCAGAGCGACAGGCCGTGGTCCGGGTTAAGCGAACTGGAATTTGGGGGGGGCGACGAGAGATGAGGGAGGGAAAAGACAACCACGACTTTCAGGACAAAGCAATTCAAGGATGTACCTGAAGTGATTGCCAGCTATATTCGCCTTTGTTCCTTTTTTGGGGCAAGGCAGTCTATAGGAATTAAGGATTAGGGATTAATCCAAGGTGTCGAACCCGGGTTTGAGGAAAGTTCGTTGGGCAGTCCGAAAACGGGCGGACTAAAAACTTGGACACGGGGGGAAGAGGGAGGTGGGTTTTTGGTGCTGATTTGGGTTGGGTTCGGTGGTGTTTTAGTGCAGTAGTTGCTGCGAGTGGGAAAGGAATAATAACGCTGCTGAGTGATTGATTGATGAGCGACAAGGTCTTGGGGGGGTGGGTGTGTGTGTGTGTGTGTGTCACAATCACACTTCCTCTCAAGTCACGTAAGATAAATTAAAAGAGGAAACAAAAAAAGGGGGGGTTGTTAAATTCTTGGGTTAAGAAAATCCCAGCGAGAGTCGGGGAGGGAGGGAAGTGGAGAGAGAGGAGAGGAGAGGTTTGGTGAGGAAAGGGAGAAGGACAACGAGAGATCCGACGGACAGACAGGAGAAGAGAGGAGAGGAGAGGAGAAAAGAGGAGCAAAGCCAGTAGCTTAAAAAAAATTGAACAACCAGCAAGATGAGTAAAAAGAGAGAGGTATGAACGCGAAGAGGGAGATTGAGAACGTCGAGGAAGTCGCTGTAAGTAGGAATAGTTCGTCGCAATAATAATCCTTGAAAGAAATAATAATAAATAAAATAATAAATTATCGTGGTCAGTTTCGCAAGCAAAAAAGACCAGCAGCAGCAAGTAGCAGCAAAGCAAGTTAAGCAGCGCAGCAGCAGCAGCAGCAAGCAGATCTGGTATGTAATAGGAATACTCCCGAGTAGGTAATAATGGGGAGAATTTATCGCGAAAAGTCGCAAAAAGGAACCACTCTTCTGCTGCGGTTGATATCCGTACCGCTTTTACATACTCTATACCACCACTACTGATACTTGTACCCTTTTACTACTAGTAGATAGCTAATAACTGACTTGCCTTACTGACTTTGCTGTTTCTATTCTTACCGCTTCTACTAACTAGATAACAACTGAAGAGTGCCGTGACTGACGATGGACCACGTACCTATAGTAGTAAACATTAACTACGGAGTACTTCCTCCAGCAAGACCAATGTAGTAGCAGTCATGAGTCGCAGTGGGTAACTATAACAGTCAGATACCAACACACTCAGTATTGTCATGCTGGGAAATGGACACTAATCCACCACAATTTATGCGACAATTAGAGCTGGTCGCGGGGCTAATCACAGCCCTGCCTCGAGTGAATTAGGCAGGTAGCAGGGGGAAGCCGGTAACATACCGATTCCCATAATTACCCAGAGGGTACATGCCTGCTGTACTTTTGGGCAGGAAATTCACCCGAATTTGGTATGGGAGGTACAAACAGAGTACGGAGTGGTACCTCGGTGGGCTCGGTCTTACCCAGTTGGGGATTAGCGGCACCACACTAAGAGTGGGAAGACTCGTGGCCGCCACTGGAATGATTATCACCGTATTCCTGGGTACGGGGGGAGGCAAGAAATGTAAAAAAAGAGAGGCGAAAAAAACAGAGACACGACAGGCAGGAAAAAGGAAGATGTAGGCTAAGAAAAGAGAGACATGAGACACATGGATAAACTATGTAGAATGAAAGAAAAGTCCAATCCCATTGAGACAACTAGCCCATCAACCAAACAGATACGACATCATAACACCTCACAACTACGTAAACACGCGACTAAAAAAGAACAAAAAGATATCTGTCTCTCACTCTCACTCTCACTCTTACTCTTACTCTTCTCTGGCCATCAAATGAAAGCCGCCAGATGATTGTTTCGGTGAAGGGCCTCCGTTCGGACTGGCGTCCCGTGGTTGGTGGGCGCCGCTGCCCTTTTAGGGGTTCGTCTTGTTCCTTTCTCAGCAGTGGTTCGGTTAGTGACTGTCGGACCCAGCATTTCACGCCCCTTGGTTCGCCGCTGCCCTCCTTAGCGGGAACCCAAATCCCCTGAAGGGGGGGGCCACTCATCACCGCCAACGAGGTGTCGCTCTCGGAGGAATGGCGATGATCCTCATCATCCACCGCTAGTAGTATGACGATGATCCATGGCCGATGATGTAGAGGCATGATGCTGCTGAGGTTGGATGGCCCTCTTACAATGTGATTTTTTGTTCCCCTTCCCTCCTACCCCTTCCCTTCTTCTGGTTCTTCTTCTTCTTCTTGTCGTTATTATTGTTGCCACGGATCAATCATCACTCGCCAACATTAACAGGACGGCTCGTCTTTTCCACTTTCCCACCCCCCTCCCCTGGCACAAAAAGTCACCAAATTTTGCATGGCTCCATAGCGAAGCGAACCTTTCAGTTTCTCCATTCCTCCTTAGCTCCTCCTAGCAATTGCCGAGGCGGCGGCGGATCATTAAGCCACAAAAAGGGCATAAGAGTGTATCAGTACGTCAAATGGGGCGATAATAGTCAGTCAGTCGGACCTAGTCAAAACGTTCTCATCAAGTCTTCAGGGGAGGTCATGCAACGTCGATCGAGCCATCGGATTCGTGGCTTTGCCTCCATCGCCGCAAGACGGGGTCAGGATCAATATCGGAATGCTTCGCTCGACCTTTCTCTCATCGTGCCTCCCGCTACCCTGACTAGTGCCACTGATAATGCACCTAGATGGTACTACAACCGGAGGTATCTCCCCCCTCAGTTACAACCAAAAGTCTTGTAATTGCCACCACTAGTGTTTTTTGCCTGCCGTAGACGAGATCCCAAAAGAGCACATCTATCGTCTGCCTGCAGCAATAGAAAAAAAAAAACGATGCATCTGTATATGGAGGAGTTGTACTTTGTGCTGGATGATCATGTATCGTCCTTTTGGTCCCAACCCCCCCAATCTGGTAGTGGAGGTGGGCTGGCGTACTTTACCCTCTCTGGTCGGATTTTAAGCTCCACCACAAAGGAAGTCAACGGCTTGGGGCAGGACGATCCATTCCCGCGGGTTCGACACACCTTCTGACGGATCATGGCTGGGAGCGAGTGGGAGCGAGTGGGAGTGAGCAGCCAAAGCAGAACCAGGAAAGGATGTGCAGGCTGCCGATCCATCTCTCCCCATCCATCGCGCTTCGTGAACATGTGTCCATCGGAACATCGAATCACAGGGTCGATAATGTGACGAAAGTTGATTCAGATTTTCCCTTTTTCTTTTTTGCCCCTGGGCTGTATGGGGTACCCCGTATGGCGCCTTCTTAACATAACACTACTAACTGGCAGGAGCCATGTATGCATTCATTCACCTACCGCGCGACAGGGATAGGATGGCTTCCGCGCATTGCCATTCGTCGGTGCTAAGAGGTTTTGTGGGCAAGTGTGAGTTAAAATTCTCCAGCCCGGCTAGGAATGGACGAAGGAAGCTTTCCGATGGTCGTGCGATGAAATTAAAGAATAATAATGATAATGGTAATAAAATAACACACAGATACGGGACCCGAGAAGGTGGGAATTAAACCTCAATAGAAGAAATTGCCCGACCATGGGTGAGGCTTCGGGGAAGACGCGCGCAAAATTTTCTTTCGCAGCTTAAAGGTCTTTGCGCGCGCTGACCGTCGCCGCTCACCGTGGTTCATCCTCGGGGCAACTTCAACTATGACGGGTGAGAACGTCATGAAAGTTCCTCTCATTGGACCTGTCTGTTGCCATTGCTCGTCTTGTTTGATACTTTGATTTAAATTTTGGAGCATGTCTCTTCTTGTCCACCCCCTTTGGCGGATGGTACTTTCACTTCCCCGTGCTGCAATGTACCTGACTGGCTGAATGCAAGGCTCAGCCCCGGAAGCTCTGACAAAGTACGGAGAAGTCGGGCGCTATCAGCACCAAGACACACAGGTCCCATCGATCTGATGGATGCAACTGAAACAAGTCAACGTCACAGGCGGAGCGACTAGTTATCTCGTAGGTTTTATCAAAGAACCACCAGCACCGAACAGATCGCATCTCAGCTCGACCGCTAGTACAATCGTGGCGAATTTGCAGCAAGGCGCTGCAGTTGCATACATGAGCCCCAACGGACGATGTCCGGAACGTTCCCCGGCGGCTACATTAGTTGCGCTGGGTCGGCGAAAACATTGCAAAGACGATGTTCCGCGTCCTACTGGATGAGAAGCTGATGGCGAAGATTGGTAGCTTGGTACGCTATACCACGGAGCTATTCCTCACTCCTCGCTAGACGCGTTTTTTCCCCTATGAATCCGGTTATCAACACGAGGTCGAGCAGACCTGCAGGATGAGCCCCCAACTGCAATTGAGCAGCAAGTGAGCGAGCTCCGTTTTCGATGGAGGGGATGCATTCACCGGGGAGCGTTGAACAACAGAGTGCAAACTAGCCAGTGGAAAGCGTTCCTTGACCCCCGCATCGGTGCATGCAGTCGCGCTCCCCACTCAGCAAAGAGAGCGCGCGCGAAAGAGCTTGTGACCGGATGGGACCACGGCCGAACCCTTCCCTTTCCTTTTTCTCCCTTTGGGTCCTGACTTATGACAGTTGTCCACTGCCCGATGAGGATTGGGAGTAGACTTCCGCCGTATGAACATGGAGGCAGATGAGGAGGCTTAACATGGAACCAGCAGCCGATTCAGGTGGGTAGGTAGGCACGTCAGTCCGACAGTGGTAGTAGAGGGGGCCACCTAAGCAAGTAAGGCTAAGTCTCAGTCAGTCAGAGTTAGTTACTGTGAATTCAGTAGTGTAGTAGCCTAGGGAGGGGGGAGAAGCCCGTGACCTCATAGTGGACAAGCAGGCACCCAACTTGCAATGAAGCATCCTCTCTGGCAGCTCTTCGAAGCGACGGGTGAAACCGAGAGAAGCGAGGATTCCCCGAAATATTACCATACATACAGAGGAAGAATACCAATGATTACGAGGACGTAAGGGTACCACGACTGGGCGGCCGCGTGACTGCCTTCTTGCTCCACTCGCCCATTCCATGGTTGACGGCCAGCATTATTATTCTTAGTTCCTGTCTACTACCCGCTACTATCGTCTATCTACCCTACCTGTCTATCCATTTGTTACTTTCTCTCTCTCTCATTCATGACTATGTAAATACCACATACCGCAACCCCACGACATCCCAACGGGAACCACCTTGTCCGAGCTGTCCTCTCAAGTCAGACACTTGGCTCTTACCCCCCTCCTCTCTCTTCCGTCCAGTGTCCACTTTCCGGTCGAGCTCCAATGAGCCCAGTGAAGGTCAATGCCACCCTGGCGAGTGACGATAAAGAACTGCCGATCTGGGATCGGCTAGTGGCTGAGGGGATTCTCCGCTAATAAGGACACTGCTGAGTGCTAAGACTCCCAGCAAGCACCAACAGTCATGATGCCAACCCGAATTCGGTTCTACCTGGCTTGATGCCTTTACCCGATCATTTGATGTCGAGGCACGATGATGAAGGATCATCGCGACCCTGACACTTAACCCTCCGTCTCCATACCTGCTCAAAGTTGTTCAATGCTCTCACAGGAAATTAACACTGGGAGACCTGTCTGATTATCCCTCGAGTATCCACTCTCCACAGACAGAGCACGGAGGACGACCTGTCCAGCAAAATTACTCTAGTCTACCACATTCCGTCCATCCACCATCATACACAGTACACCTCGTTCAAGCCACCGATCGTCTTGCACAAAGAGAAAAATGTCTGTGTGGTGTGTTTTGCGAGAGAGAGAGAGAGAGAGAGAGAGAGAGAGAGACCTGATAACATAGACTTGAGCTGCTGCCGCCTACCCTCCTCCTCCCAATCAATAGCCAACGCAGCCATCAGTGCAGAAACGGTCAGCCAGGAAACGCCCCCTTAAAACCCATCCGGCAGGTCCATAACATCCTCCTACTACTGACCGGGGTCATTTTCCCATGGAATATTCTTCCCCTCCTTATCGTATGGTCGGTAAGGCACAGGCACCCTACCCCCGTGGTTAGAGACTTAATGTACTGTTATATGTAGTTCCACCTAGTGCTTCCAGAATAAATTAAATGATTCCTCCTAGAACCTTGGGTGTCCACCACCATCAACCAGGGGAGGGATAAAGGGGGGCACAAGGTCAATGCGTCTGCGTAGTGGCTTTCCCTTTTCCTTTTTCCCTTCCACCCATGGCGCCCCCCCTCCTTCATCTCTGGAGAGTAGATGCCCATTTCATTCCAAAACCTATTATGGGGCCTGAGTATCCACGGGCCCTTTAATACAGCTTACTATAGTATGGGTTCGCATACTTCGCTTATGAGTTTAAATAACCATCACTAATAACTATCCAACTACTATATAGATATAGATTACTAATATGTTAAAGGGCTGATGATCTATTTGTTTGATAATATTGGGAGCTGCAGTGCGTGGTTTCTTCTACCCATTGGACAGGCATCTATACAGTTTCCTTAGACTTTGTAGGGCATTTAGATCAAGTGCGTGGAGAGTAGACTCACTTACTGACTACAGGTGAGTACGTCGTAGATACCTTCCCCTACTAGTAGTTATCATATGGTGATGACTAGAGGGCTAATTAATTAGCCTGCTATGATATCAAGCAACAACATCTGATATTGTAAGCACCTGACCTATTACTTGAGTAGTCACGTAGGTAATTAACTACTAGTTATTTTACACTATGGAGGAAGTTCATTCCAGCTTACATCATTTCATCTAGTTACACGGCAACCAACTAACTAAGTAGATGGTTGAGACTGGCTGAGAGACACATGACCCAGCTCATTTCATCATATCACGTTACTTGCTGCAACTCAAGATACTCCGTCAATAGTCACAATAACTTTCTACCTACCTACCTACAAAGTAAAAAGAAAGAAAAAAAAGAATGAATAATTGATTTCAAACCTGTCCGGTGATATCATCATCCATCTTCACTACCCAACTAACTAATCACCTTACATCTGCCTTCATCAAATAGTTAGTAGTTCACAAATTCATCCAGTCAGTATACACTGCAATGCAGCAACTACTAGTACTGGCTACACACCTTAGTAGTGTCAAAGTATTCCATCCAAGACCCCCATTTCCAATAACACAAAAACAGAAAAGAAAAAAAATAAAATAAAATAAAATAAAATATCAATAATATAAACCAAAAGAAAATAAAATATACGCCCCAAATAAGAATAACCCCCATCTACTACAATACTCACGGAGTACTCCGTACACTTCCATTTACCAACCTCTCCCAAAAGAGAAAAGAATCGAAAAGAAACATATTAATTAACTAACTAACTACCTATGAAGTAAGCAGTAACTACGGCCCGCAAGCCATTATATCATATAGTCGGTCAAGGAGAAAACACCCCCAAATCTCATCCACTCACCAACTAAACAGACAACACATAACAACAACGACGACAACAACACAACAACAACACGGCACGGCACAGGACGGCACACAACACAACATACTCCCCCCATTTCCCCTCCGCTCCGCTTACTATACCCATAAGTAAACTAAGATGGCAATAAAAATTGAAATGAAATGAAATGAATGACATGGCCGCCGGCCCTCTCCCCGGGGAAGATCGGATCGGGGGGCCGAAAAAGCAGCAGCAGCACGCGGGACGGCACGGAGGGATTGATTGAACACTACGGAGTACCAACCAACGTAATAACTAACTAATTACTGTAGTAGTACTTTGGAGAGTCATACCTGTCTAAGTACTAACTAACTAACTTACTAACTGTCAAGGAAAAATACTATCCGGAGGGTTTACTCTAATCGGCAGGTAGTAAGACATCATATCCATCCCATCATCCATTGGGTTGGGTTGGGTTAGTAGATTCTGTCTTTTTTTGGTTATTTTTACATTTTATGTAAATGCTGGCTGGGCGCGCTTGTCTAGCCGAGCTGGCGGATGGATGGATGGGATCAATCTGGTGATCCTGCCATGTGCGATGATGTTGATGATGATGTCGTTGTCGTGGCTTTTCCCCGGTTTTTCATTTCCCCGGTTTTTCATTTCCCCGGGTCCAACTAACGCAGGCTACGGAGGTTTCTTCCACGGCCATACTGCTGGCTTCGGCTTATGTGGCAAACTTGTTCTGCTGATCAAGACATCATGCATGTTCTGTGTATGTACGTAGGTGAGTACGGCTGCCGCGCCCTACAGATGACGAAGGTAATCGTGCTTCCAAACGCCTGTTCCGGTCCTAGTGTAGGTATTCCTGAAACTCCTAACATACATTCAAACCAACCAACCCATTTGTACAGCAAGTGTTAGGCCGTCGGCCGAATGACCCGGATCATGCAAGCGACGAGGTCGTCTTCCACTGGTACAATGCCCGCAGCACCGCGACACCTCCTGACTGTGTCTCAACAGTGCGTCCGCGGCCACGATCATTGTAGTCGTTCGGCGCATAATCGCGCTCTGTGAAACCCGACCGCTCGGGTGCAGTTCCCCAGCCCTGCAGCTGTCGTGTGGAATCGAGTCCCAGCATCTCGTCATCGCTAGGACTCTTAGAGCCACGGCTGCGGAGAAGTCCCGTCAGTGCCTCCGAGTCCTCACCCTGCGCCCCATAATTTTGATAGTCGATCGCCCCCTGCGGCAGAGGACTCACGTCGGTGGCGGTGGTGTTTCCCCACCACTCCCCGATCTTGCCGTCGCCATTCTTGGTCAACAGAGCGGCGTTGGCGTTGTGCTCAATCCAGGGGCGGTATGTTCGGCATCGTGCTTGGTGCCACTCGTATACGTACTGCCAGCCGTCTTCCCCGTCCCCTGTGCGGTTGGCACTGGCCAGAAAACGCAATTCCTGCGGCCGGATGTCTCGGCAGAACTCGGCCAAATGATGAAAGAAGATGCCTTTGAAGGTTTGTCCATTTTGGGAGCAGCTCCCGGAAGAGTCGCACGCATCCTCCAACACACCTCCGCGGCCAAGCCCTTCCCACTGCTGACTGCCTTTGTCAGGCCATCCGGTAGCCAAGAGCACATCATTGACCAATCGGTGCCCGTCAGATAGGTACTGCTGCAAACCGGTAGCTAACCAAAGTCCCCTTAGCCCGCTAAGGATCACTCCCTGGTTGTATGTATATACCATGGTGTTGAGAACATCACATTTGCGCGTGCCAGGATCATCGGCACTCTTCCAACCACTGATATGGAAGCCATCGCCATAGAGGCCATTGGCACCCGTCATATTTGAGGCATTTAGCCACGAATATCCCTCAATGGCGGCCTGCAGATGAGTTGGGTCGTGAGGGTAACCGTCTGACCAGTTCTCATCGTCCAATGTGGTTCCCATAAAGGGTGAATCAATAAAGTCTCCGGGGAAGTAGAGATACATCCCGATGCTAGCGGCTATGTACAGCTCATTGGTGATGGCATTCTTGTAGGGCGTCAGGTAAGGGCTCCAGATCATCCCGCCATTACACAAGGAAACGTCCCAACCCCCGGACGCAAGACCATAGAATACACGTGCCCGATGAGCCGCCGGGGACTGAAACTGGGTTCCATGCCAGAGGCGTTTTGTTGTCTCGTTGGGTGAGAAGGGGTCATCGTAATGCAGGTCGCTGTGCAACACTTGGAACTTTATGTTCTCCAGCCAGCCCAAAACAACCCATAGCATGTCATCAAAGGCCTGGTTTCTTACAGCAAAGGCATCCTCACCGAAGTAGAATGCTGAGGTTTGGTCAAAATAATGGTTAATGAGATTCTCGAATCCCAACGAATACTGTTCAGTTATATCTTCCGACTGTTTGTGATTCCCGCTAGCATTCTCTGAAAGAAGGTCCGACAGTACATCCCCCGCCGTAGCAGTCAGTGAGGAGAGGGTGGCGGAGACATGAGTCCCAAGCACGGCAGCAGTCCAATCGATACTAGTAGGCCAAGTGCCTTGCCAAAGCTGGAAATAGTCATCCTGCATCACATTGAGTGCATCCAGCAAATCGTTGTAAGTGCGGCTTATCGAGCCGATCGGTTCACTGGGCTTCTCTGGAGCAGGAAGGGGGAGCTGCTTTGACGGGGAATCGGTTGAATCCTCCAGCGGAATCTGCGCATTTGGAGACAATGGCGCAAGGACGTCCTGCGACCGCAACGCCAGCGCATTGGTCTCAGAGAAGACTGCAAGCAAGCAGAGCAACCTATGAATAGCAAGTAACGCACGCATATTGAAGACTTTCTAGTTGTAAGTCCCTCAAGCCCGCAGTGAACGACTAGTCTCGTGGTCCTGGACCTGGTTCCTGGTAATCCAGGGCGGAGGTACCGATAAGCAAGTGTCGAGAGATGATTCGAGGTAACAATACGTGAGGATTGACTTTAAGCACGCAGAACTCGAGACAGACGCGGGGAGAAAGAGAGCTCAGAAAACCGCCAGCATCCAACGAGCAGCGAGAATCTAATGAGGCATATTTCAACAGTCAATGGTCCCCAGGGCGGGCCATGAACGAGGGAAGGAAGTGGCGTTGAGCGATAAGTTTTGACGTTCGGCCGTTGCGGGGAAGGAAAGACCCCCAGGCTTAACTAAGCCAGCCATTCGCCGTGCTTTTCAGCCCTCCGGCTGACTCTCCGCAGCTCAGCTGCTGCCCTCTCCCTTCCAGCCTCGTCCTCTCCACGCTTGATCGTCGGGGCCTCGTTCTTGGTATTCCATCACGCGCCTGGGCTGCGGGGATCTCATGCCCGATTCCTGCCCGCCCCCCATCGACCTTCTGATCGATCCCTCGCAGAGTCTTATATAGTGTGCATCTCACGCACTCTCTGATGACCAATAGCAGTCATTCGGATCTACAGAACTCTATCTGGACTAAGGGTCTTGGGATGATTGATGTGGGGTCGAAAGACTTGCCCATGTGCTGGACGACGGAAGGAGAGATCAATAGCGCAGGAATGCTACAAGTATAGCCCCATCCACATGAGCATCATGGGCAGTGGGTTTCATCTGAATTAATCTTGGAACTAGTAGAAATTTTGGGATATCCTGGCTTGATATATCATGCGAGCGGGGTCCTGCTTCAGCTAGGTCAGCGATGAGCATTCGAGCAAGCCACGAGACAAAACAGAAGCGGAGATGATGACGGAGATCAAGAGACAGAATCGAAACGAGGGATGGTAAAGGGAAAGAAAAGGAAAAACGGGCCGGGATGCCGCAAGAAACAACTGCACATACCATATCGCTGATTATTTACGACGCCGGCAAATATCTCCTCTGGCTGCAAGCCCATGAGTACCCTCGTTAGAGGAGCATAAAACTGTCGTAAGAGATATTGCCGGCTGTAACCACTGCTGCTCACGGCGCCCATCCAACCGTGACCAACATGCGCGCATCAAACCGACATAGTGTCGTCTGAATGGCTCAACAGCCGTGTAGTCCTGGAGGGCGAAAACAAAGGCAAAATCAAAACGCTAGACGCGACGAGGCAAGAGAAAGCAAGATATAAGGTGCCTGCCAAGGTCATAAAGTAGAGTAAACAGAAGTCAACTCCTCAATGCTGCCACAACAACACGCCTAGTCTCTAGCCTCCTCCGCACCAGGGCTGCGACTCCTATCGCGGCTCCTGCTGCGTCCACGTCCACCACGACCACTTCTTTGTCCAGCATTCTTTCCTTTGTTTGATGGGGGTGGCCGCACAAACGCAAAGTCGACCTGGATTGTCTGGTCCAGCAATTTGGATCCGTTCAAAGCCTTGATAGCTTCTGAGGCTTCGGGGAGGGTGGAGTATTCGATCAACGCGTAACCCTGACAAAAGCCAATTAGTATCCAACGTATGTTCAAATAAAGTGAAATGATCGAGAGGAAGAAAAATGTATCCAGCAAAGTCCTAGAATGAATTCTAGACAGACGAAGAACCAAAGACAACCTACCTTCACATAACCCGTCCGGCGATCGAGGTTCAGATTGAAGTTCTTGATCTCTCCATATTCAGCAAACAGATCCGTCACGTCCTCCTCGGAGGCCTCTTCATGAATGTTGGTGGCGATGATGATCCATCCTTCGATACTGCGCACTGCAACAGCTGACGCTTGCGTTCTCGGATCAGAGGTATTGTTGCCCGACTGCGCGGGGACCTCCTCCTCCTCCTCCTGCGCCACGGGAGGATCGACTTCCATTTCTGTAGACATGATGAGAGGGAGGTGAGACTGAATTGACCGAAATTAAAGGCTCGAGAAGGGTGGATGAAGGGAGGGATTTTGGTCCAAGGTGGGCTGTTCAATGACCAAACTGTTGCAATGCGATGGATCTTCGCGAAGCTTGCGGTGTGCTTATGTAATCGATCGATATCCAACGACGGTCAATGTTGATAACCATTTTATACTACTCTCAATGCCACGAATATTAATCGAAATTAATGATCGACAGGGGTATAAAACTGAACTAATGAGAGGAAATTAATGTTTCTTCAAGCTCTAGAGGCTTCGCCCAGAAGCCCTTCATAGCTCTTTCATATACGCAGTATAGTATATTGCACCAATGAACTATTAAGACGTAAGTAGAGCAGATTCGCAATTTACAGGACATGGGAACTGTAACAATAACTAATGACTTAGAGTTTTGGAGTTTTAGTTGCAGCTCTAGTGACTGCTCGTCGGTTGGGTGTATCGCAGTGAAGATATATGTATACTAAACGCAAGCAGATAGGGTCAACTAGTACTATTGAGTAATGTATCTAGATGCTCATTGCTGAAAGCTGCAACAATTGCAAAACAAAATGCTCAGGAAATAAACTAGAAATATGTACTACTCCTACCCACAGCTGTGTGGATAGAACAGGCTCAATTCTAGGAGCTAGCTCGGCTGTATCTTCATGTTACTGTTCACCTTTTAACCATCAAGCTCCGCCTGCATCCACACGAAAGCCCCGCCTAGTTATAGATTTCAATTGTCTTTTCACTGAGTGAGCTATCGTTTAACAGTACTTAGTAGCGACATAGTGCAGCGCTTGGATTTGTTCTCTATGACCACAGTCATCCTTTCATGGAGAATGATAACATGATGTCGATGAACGGGGTAGATATGAGGGATTTATGGGACTCTCTGCTAAAGACACAGAGAATCTAATCTGTGAGACATCTACTGCCTTCAATTATTATACTGATATCAGTAATACTTTGTAGCAATGTTGATGATTCCTGTGTTCCTGCTGAGGATGGTGTGCTGGATCTAGACTGAGTAGCTGAGAGCTCATTAAAGACCTTTCCCTGTGTACTCTTTGCTACTGTAGAAACAGAGCTATGGCTGGATAACAGTGAATTGATGCCAGCCCCTCGATGTGAATGTGATAAACACGGTGACAACATGAGACCCGTCCTCAATCTAACTGTCCCTGCGGTCTTCTTCTTTTTACTTGCTCATCATCATCAATATAGACAAGCTGTTACCCAGGTATCGAAAGTAATCACCTTTCTCCTCTCATCCTCAGACGAAGTTCTCATTCATCGAGCGATAAAGTGAGACTGCGCCGCGATGAGCGGCAAGTCAGTCTCGAATCTGCCCTGGTGAGCTCGATTTTCGGCAATTTCCCTGTCCATATAAGCAATAATCAGTCCTCTAACGAAACAATATCCTGACAGCGACGACCCCCAATGCTTCTGCCATTTCCGCTCGCCCAAGCCATATCCCAGGATCGAAGCAGTTCTAACAGGCTCTGAACCCAACCAAGTCCGCGAGCTGCACCAGCCAAACAGCAAGCTCGATATAGCGTTCGACGTGGTAGGCTGTGTCATGACATTGAACGAATGCATCCACGATCCTTCTCGACCAACGATCGGCTACTCAGTCAGTCTGATGATCAAGGCGGCAAACACGCACTTCGTGAACCTCGAAGGCCTTGAAGACCACTCCCTCCTTCTAACCATTCGAATCCGCCATTCAGCATGCGCCGTGAGAGGCAACAAGATGATACTGAAAGAGAAGTTCAACGGATACTACCCTGACCCTCCTTATAGTCGACTCTACAATGATCTGTTCGAGTGCCGTTGGCCTGAAAAGACGCTCCAGATATGTCTGCCCGAGGAGAGATGTCGACGCTGGAAGACAGTCGCTTTGATATTGAGGACTTTCGGGCAGATCAATGGAGACAGCTATTGTCATATGGCGAATATGATTCTTACTCCCCGTGTGGGTGGACTTAATGTGCGTCAGATCAAGAAGGATATCAAGATGGAGCTAGCGAAGAGTGATCATAAGCGGAGAGAGAATCCTGTGTCTCCTGAGTATACGGTTACGGTTAACGAACCGGAGAAGATTGAGAGGCTTAATCATGCTTATGAGGTTCATCTTCTTGCGTTTATTCACAGCTCATCTCGATTTCTTCGGCCACAGTACCTGTAGGCTGTCTACAGAGTACGAAGGGCCTTGTGGGGAGAGATTCGTCATGGTAGAAGGCAGTTCTGTTTCTCATGATATCGTGAAGTTTGTTGATGGGATTCAGCGTACATAGTTCATGCGTCTGGCGTCCAGTGTTGCTTTTCTTTCCTAGGGACAGGATGATTGGAGATTTGCAGAGATGAAATGTATCGGGGTTTGCGCAGGTTGTTGAAGTTTTGCCAGTGATTTTACTTTCTACACGAGGTACGATGTTATGAAAAAAGAAGCTATGTGACTTTATGTTGGATGAAATGTTCAATAGCCCAAATCTTCACAAGTTTGACAGTGAGCCTTCCTTAATGATGTATTAGGTTATACTGAAGAAGAAAGGAAGTACGTCTAGCCAATTGACTTGATAAGGGAATAATCGATTAAAGTCCATAGAACTATTGGATATATCCATGATAGGAGCCAACATTGCTTCGTTCATGCTGGGAAGCTTCATCACACGTTCTTCTATCTACTCTCTGCAGAACACTGCCAATGTGAACCATCCTAGGCAGAATGAGGAGCGACAATGCTTGATTTATATCTCATAGTCCATCGACTTCTGTCTACATATGCATTGGCATGTGTCGAAGAGATTGTGAATAAACGACCCACCGTGGCGATTCTGGCCGACTCTTCTAGCTTCCTACCGCTGCCTTGTATGGAAGCAATCGAAGGCGTGCGCTGGGCCAGATTGGGTATAATCGTGATGTGGCGCTGAGGGAAGTTTCGCTGGGAGAGGATGGTTGGGATTATGGTTAATGAGTGGGTTGAAGAGGTACGATGGGGGTGAGGGTAGTGGGTAACTAATCTAATGGGTAGTGAGGGATTGGGGCTGGGGGATGATATGATGTCATTTGTATATTTCTATTAATAGGTGCGAGGGTATGAAGACGTAGGGAGACGCTGTAGGGCTACAGTCTGGCTTTACGATGGCAGTATATTCTTCCTACGGATTTCTTTGGATGTGTTCATGTGATGGATTAAGAGTGGAGATTAATTGGTTTCCACCTCTAGGTATCGACAAAAGTAAGTTCCATCGGATTTCTCTGTCGCCACGGTCCCTTGTCACCGGGAACGGCGTGGCTGACCCATGACCTTGTTGGCCAAAGGTGCAGACAGATAGTTGTTGCCCTTCCATATACAGGCTGAATTATTTGGTGGAAACCATGCAGCAAATACTAATACAATCGAATTTTCAGGAAGACAAATGCCACTTAAGTTCCGAATCATCGTAGTGTCCGAGACCGTGTATATTAGGGTGCTGAGTGCAATGAGATGCTCATGCATTTGGGCACCCTGGCGTTACACCAGGGCGATCATAGAGATGCAAATGCGAAATGCGTTTACCTCCGGTTGTTCTGGCGCATGCCCAGGATCTGGACCATACGGACGAAGATGTTGATGAAGTCCAACTCAAGGCTGATACTCTCGTTGACGACATCCTTGCGGACCAGGCCTCTCTGAGCCATGCGAGCGTGGTGGAGGATCTTCTGGACATCATAGAGGGTGAAACCACCGAAGACAGCGAGACCACCGTACAGCCAGATCTTCTCGGACCACAACAGAGCGCGGGTGGCAGTAGCGGGGAGGACAAGAGGAGCGAAACCGGAGAGAGCGACAATGGTCACACCAGCGAGCAGAGGAGCACCAAGGTACATGTACTTCTCCTGCTTAGCAGTGGCACCGACGAAAGCGATGGCACCCATCATTCCAGCGGTGTAAAGACCAGCGCGAGCAAGAATAGCCGGGTGCATGAACATCAGGGGAGACAGGAGCGCGGCCTGGGTGACGTTGAAAGCGGCCCAGAGACCATACTTCATGACGTAGCTAGTGATTTGTCAGTAAACTGTCAAATAGGAAAAAGTATGCGTTGGTGCAAGTACTTACTTGTCAGGGTTCGTGTACAGAGTACCATACATGGTTCCGACGCTGGCAACCAGACCAAGACCGATGACAGCCCAGGGGCTGGCAGCCATCAAACGGTATGACCATCCGTTGGTGTGCAGAGCGCGAGCAGCGATACCAATGATACCAATACCAAGTCCAGTGTGCATAAACGTCTCGTTCAGGTAGCTGCGCTCAAACGGAGGCATGCCGCCATCCTCTCTGGTTTCGCGGTTGAAGATGAAGTTCGTGGCCAGGATAGTACCACCGATGATGGTGGCGCCGTAGATCAGCTTCTGGGTGATGTTGCCACCCTGAACATTGTAGGAAGGCTGCATGTAGGTGCGACGGAAAGCATTTTGGAAGGTCTGACGGGACTTTGCGAAGATGGAGATGGGACCGGTAGGCTTAGACTGGGGCTTGAAGGGCGTATTGTGGATGAAACGGGCGCTATTCGCAGGTTTGGAGATTTGCCGAAGCGCCGTAGGGACGGCGAACGGGCGTCGCAAGAAGAACGCCATGATTGTGACGATGATGTCGAGGTTGTTGGAGATGAGGAGAAGCGATGGAGCGGCGGATGGCCGGCTATAAGAATGATATCAGTCATCCGTCGGCCAGCCGCTACGGTCGCCCGAACGTTCGAGAAGTGAAGTCACGTGGTAATGAGCGCGTCGTGAGTCAGCATCACCGCCTCGGCGATAAGTTGGCGGGGGAGGGGAATTATCAGGATTTAGGACTTAACGGACTTGCACGGCCACACTGCTATTGTCATCATCTCGGCCCGGAATTCTACAACTGCGTACTCTCTTCGATTCCGTTCTCGATAATTCCCTTTTGGACTTCACCTCTGCGTCACTATTCCCATCATGTCTGCGCCATTATTAGAAACCATCCACCTTTCGCATCTGCCTCCGTCGATGCCCGTGCATGTCGCTCTATATCGGGATGTGCAGAATGCTCCATATCTTCGCCAGCAGCTCATGTCCGCCAATGCGGAATTCGAGTACGCTTTCATTGATGCAAGCACGGTACGAAGTCAGTATGTCTCTCGGCGGAGCGACAGCTAAACATACTGCAGGTCCTCTCAAGAACACACCTTCTCTCCGCAGTCTTCAGAGCAGTCAATGATTATATGAACGGCCGCCTCAAGTCCCGGAACGTACACTCTGAGATGGTCTTTTCGCTAAGTCCTGCGACAAATGTACGTCTACAATCAGCTACCAACCGACTTCATGGGCAATGCTAACCACATCTAGATTGCTGAATCTTTCCGCAAGTTCGGCATTACCGATTCCACAAAAGACTTGCTAGTAGTCAAGCTTTCCGTGACTCCGGAGATTACCCACGACTCGGTCGCAGCCCATCTCGGACAAAATGTTGAGGGAACGCCTGTACCATTCGACGACGAAACTCTGTCGAAGATCTCCGACATTGCAAAAATCAAGAAGGCTTACAAGTTGGGGGCGTTGAACACTGCGCCGCCATACCAAGCAAACGGCACCCAGGAGAATGGCATGCGCCGGCTCGAACTGTCGGTTCTGGGAGCTATTGCTCTACGAGGAGCGACTTGAATAGATCTTGGATTTAGGAAGTTCTTTATCATACCCCGATCTCGCTCGTTTGGGTAACCAGAGCCCTGTAAACCGGGCCAGCCATATGCAGATTGTCTGCACCATCCGACAGTCAGAACTTCTGGCTGATGCCGTTTCGAAGCATTTGCGCCCAGGAGCTACCTCTGTGCAGATAGATGCCTGGCAAGAAATACCCATGCAAGATATGTCTATAAGAGTCACGAATAGTACATAGAAAGCAGGGCCGTCATTCATAGAGTCAGTGCGGAACACTGATTACGGCTCTTTTCTACACAAAAATAATATTTTAGAAGATACTATATGTTCTATATTCCATTCTATATATAACCCAAGTAATACATCCCCTTAATGAATAGAACGAAGGACATACCTCGGTTGCCCTGCCCACCGCATCCCCCATCCCAAAGCGGCAATCATGCAACTTTGCCAAGCCCGGCAACTCTCCGCATCATCGCGACTGAATCGATCTAGACACCCACCGTCCGGGGCTCACGCATATAGCATAACACCATGCTCACTAGCGCAGGGGGGATTCATTCTTAGCGTACAACACTCACCAACCCGAATGCGCGCTAATGCCGACCAAACGACCATCCTGATATTTGTTGCGACTCGCCACCATGTCCGCCACCGCGGAGGTCCTGGTGCTTTCCTCCTCGCCGGAGCGCAATCCTGTCCTCACGCCAGCGCCGCCTGCATATGATCCCGAAAAACTCTTCGGATTGTCTCCGGTAGACATCGAAACAACTCCGATACCGTCTCCGTCTGAATTGTTTTGTCCTCCGACGCATTCTAGGTTTTTCGAGGTTGGGAATCGGGTCGATGAATCGCACCGCAAGGGATCCCGCAAGAATTCCAGCAACTTGACGAATGATGATTCGGCTGTTATAATGCTAGAGGAAGAACCGGCGGCAGATAAACCGAAGCGAAGGGGTAGGCCAAAGAAGGAGCAGAAAAAGGCTACGGAGGAGTCGGGGTCTGTCGCGGGTACCGAGAAAACGACTGCGAAGAAGACTACGACAGGCGCGAGTAAGAAACGCGCTGAACCTGCGACAAAGCGCTCGAAGCCGGCAAATAAGACGATCTCTGGGAGGGTTGCGAAGGCAGGCAGTTCGCAATCTAAGGAGGCTGGCGAGAAGGCCATTTGTCCGTTGACGCCACCGGCTGCTCTGTCTCAGAAGACTACGAAGGATGTGCTTGATTGGGAAAGGGATGGTTTACAGCTTGAACCAGCGATGACGAGGAGATTGGACTGGACACCTGCAACAAATAAGGCTAAGGAAGTCGTTCAGTTGGAAGGGAAGTCAGGGCCAGATGATACTATGAGGGGCTTTGGTAACTTGTTGTCAGAGTATGGATTTGATGGGCCTGCTGCTCCAGCAAGCGACTATGTGCCTTCTGATAATGGTGGACCAACGAAGCGAAGGCGAATAGAGCTGGTTGATCCCGGAGTATATCCTGCTTCCAGACAAAGTGTTGCCGACGATAGTGAGAAGGATAGCGCAGAGGGAACCCGCAAGTCAACACCAGCTGCGCGAAAGAAACCTATGCAACGTGCCAAGAAATTCACCACGCTCACTGCCCGTGTGACAGCGAAGTATATCAACGAGTCTACAGAGGGTTCAGATATCGTGGAGGAAGAGACTCCAAAAGCGAAGCCTAGGGCTTCAAAATCCAAGAAAAAGGGCCAGGAACCCGAGTTTGTGGTGCTCTCCCCCGAAGAAGCTGCCAAATCCCTCGATGACCAGGAGCTGGTATTCGGCACGTGCAGCCAGCTGGAGCGCGAAGACTCGCCCACTACTATAAGAGAGCTGCAGGCAGCTATTAGCGAGTCGGAACGGAGCATGACATTGGAAGCCAACGGTCGTCCGCATCGGACGCAGAGCAGGGCATCTTCTGCAGTATCGCGTTTCAATGGCTCAGGAAATTTGTGGTCGGTCGCATCTCGAGATGTCGACGGTTCACTAATGCAGGTGGAGGTGGTTGATCTCATCGATTCGCCAGATAGATCTGGGACTATTACTCCGGATGAGCCACCTAGCAACGTCAGGGGACAAGTTGAAGCCGAATGCAATACCAGCGATATCAACCCTACACAGAAGGATAGCGACCAGGCGAAGGCTACTTCGACCAGCGAAGCACAGCCTATCATACCTGCTCCAACCACTAAGACAACGAACAAGAAGACTCAGAATTCCACATCCGTTGCCCGCAAATCTGATCCTAAGATGCCGCAATACGACAACTTCACAGATGCCCAGCTATCGAAACAAGCCGCCTCATTTGGCTTCAAACCACTCAAAAACCGGAAGAAGATGATCGAGCTGCTTGAAAAGTGCTGGAAAGCAAAGAACGGCGTATCCTCCGAGACAAATGACGAGAACGCACAGCAGAATTCGTCTGTCGATCCTACGCCGGCGCCTGCCCTGGGCAATAAGCCAAAAGGAAAAGGCACGACACGGAAAACCACCACGAAGGCGAAAGCCAAATCTCAACCTGATGCATCATCAAAGCCAACAACAATCACGAAATCTACCCACTCAAACAACCCCAACCCCAACACTATGCCCACAACTTCACCTCCCAAACCACCCCCCTCCTACGCCCACGTCGAAGAAATCGAAGACTCCGAAGACGATTCCGACCCCATCCCATTCTCCTCCCCCAGCCGCCTCCTACCCCAAACTCTCCAAACGAAGCACAAACACGCCCCCTCCCTCCCCACATCCAACATACCATCAAGTCCTAATCGGACTACAACCACATCCACCTTCAAAGACCCAGAACCCCCCGCCATCCTCCTCCCCTTAACCGAGCAAATCACCAAAGCTGTCCGCGTCCAATCTGCAACCTGGACTGCATCATCCCACACACAGAATACTCACACGAGGAAACAAACCTGGCACGAGAAAATCCTCATGTACGACCCCATTCCTCTGGAAGAGTTTACCATGTGGTTAAATACAGAAGGATTGGGTCTTGTGAATGAGGACCGGGAGGTCGGGGCGGGGTTCGTGAGGAGGTGGTGTGAGAGTAAAGGGGTGGTTTGTTGTTATAGGCCGAAGAAGAGGGAGTGATGTTATTCTCTTTTTCTTTCAGCATAGATTATTTTGGATTTGGAGTGAGTTTGGGGGTGGGGTGCATTGGGAGTTACGCTAGATTATCCTTGTATTGATTTTTGGGAGGGAGTTGGTTTATTGGTTTAGGTCGTTGCTGGAGTTATGGATGCATGTATCCTAGAGGCTTGGGATTAGGTTAGGTTAGGGTTTGGTTTGGCTTCATTGGTGCCGTGTTTTGATTGGTTCACAGCCTGGAAATACTATACTTATACCCCTTTACTCTATTGATCTCGAATAACATCACTGAAGATAGAGTATCTACTATTAACCAGCATACAGAAGACTTACCGACTTCTCCTAATCATATGAATAGAATAGAGGTAAACGTAGGTAGGTATCATTTCAAACAGCAATGCAAGTTCCATTCATTCGGAAGTCAAAAAAGGAAAATAAGAATATTAAACAAAACATTATCCCAAAGAAAAAAATTAACTAAATAACCATCATCAAACCCGAAAACATTATCAATTCGTAACCATTTCATAACCGTAGCTCATTCATCATAGAACTTCCTAATATAAACCCACAAAGATATTTTTCCATCATATAGTATGTACCCCCAGCAATAGGAGGGAAGATCCCCCCTTACTACTACTACCATCATGCCAAACATCTCCAAGCCTAGCCTAGCCTAGAGGGAAAAGCGTAAGAGGATAGTAGTAACCAAACAAGCAAAAAAGTAGTAGATATAACTATTCTGGAATAGTATGTCCACAAAATAGGAAATCTCAAGCAAATTTTACACCTCCTTAGATACCATACCCTCTACCACACAGAACCCAACACCAACGTACCCGGAAACTAGCACCAATACTCAACCAACTACTACTGCTGCTGCTCCTGCTGCTGCTTCTTCCTCCTCCCACCCCTCTTCGCCTTCTTCTGAGGCACATTATCAGTAGCAGCAGTAGTAGCAGTAGCAGTAGTAGTCGCCGCAGAAGTAGGAGGCTGCGAAACACCCGCCGACGAAGAAGGCACACCACCAACCAAACTCATACCTTCGTGCGGGTAGCCCGCAGCAGCAGCCCCCCCGTGCATGCTCGCCCATGCTAGAGCGGCGGCGGCGTCAGGGCCATAGAGATTGAACTCATTTGAGCCCAAGTACTGAGTGAGAGCATGGTCGGATATTTCGGGGTATGTGGACCCTGCTGCAGCGAGTTGGGGGTCGTCTTGGCTCTGCTCGTAGGGGTAATGGGTTGAGTAGCCGGGGGTGTTGATCTGGGGGAGGGTTTCGTAGTTGGTGTGTTGGCTTTGTTTGGGAGCGGTCATCTGTTGTTGTTGCTGATGCTGCTGTTGCTGCTGTTGCTGGTATTGGTATCGGGCGAGGTCTTCGAGGGCGCTGAGGTGGACTTGTCGGGTGGATTGGGTGTACATGTTGTTGTTAGGGTTGTTGTTCTGCATGTTGGTGTTCTCGGGTTGGGGGAAATGGGTGGAGGAGGATTCGGTCGCAGGTGGTGCTGGAATGGTGCTGGAGGGCTGGGCAGCAGCATGGCGTTGCTGTTGCTGTTTCTGCTGCTGATGCTGCTGCTGGAAACCCGGGGGAGGGGCGAAGAAGGGCTGATTGGGCATGTATGGAGTGCTAGGTGGGAAGTTGGGCAATTGGCTTGCTGCCAGCTGGGCGAGTTGAGCGTTGTAAGTAGGATCTTGTGGCAGGCCAGCCTGCTTCGGAAGCTGGCCCATGTTAACCTGCGCATAACGACCCTGATAAGCTGCGGCAGGGGGAGTTGTGGGATATTGGATAGTTCCCTGTTGACGGCCCGTGGGGTGTGCGGGCCTGGTGCCATTATCAACATGGCCGGGCATGGCTCCGTTCTGCTGTGGTCCAGAAGGCCCCTGTGCTTGGGCCCTGGGGTTCCTTGCCATATGATGTTCAAAAATTTGTCTGACCTTAATCCCCGTCGGGTCTTCAAATCCGTCCGAGACGTAGGCCTCGAAGCTGGCATCGCCCATGGTATTGAATTCAGGATGCCGCTCTGGATGGTCCTCGGGATAGGGATCCAACGGAGAGGTTATCAAGTCCTCCAGATCACCGGGTCCGTGGGTATTGAATTCGGAGGGATATTCATCGCAGTTGTTTGGGTTCTTTCGGCTCTGCTTGAGATAGCGTAGAGTTTGTTGCACAACGATTTTAGTAGGATCCGCGGCCAGAGGCTCCTCGGGAACTGGAGTGATATTCTGGACATAGTAACGGTGAGGTCAGCGAGGGATTGATCGAAATGTCTGGAATGAATAATGCTTACCGCATTTTGAAGCTGTTGCAAGAGTGCTTTCACTCTGATGCTGAGTGATCGTGCTGCCTGTTCAAGGCAATTGTTCAACCACTCCAGATGTATGATCCTTCGACGCATCAATATAAGGGCTCCGCGACGCTCAGTGCGAAGCCAAATTGGATCAGTAACCCAACAAATTCTGTTCTGATTCCTGCAATTCGAGCAGCCGAAAAGACCCTTGTCGCACTTCGCTTTTCGCATCTAATTGACAAAGAAACGGAGTTAGTCTGGGCAACATGATCACAAGAAAGGGTATCAACATACTTTGCATAGGTCACAGGCAAGGGTGGTCCGGGAGGGATCTTTTTCGTTCCTTAGTTACCATTGTCACGTTTTCTGGATTCTTTAATCTTACCTCTCTTTGTCTTCCTTCTTCTCTTCGTCCTCTTTCCGGTTCTGCTTTCCTCGTCACTTTCTTCGTCAAATTCGCTTAGCTCTGCGTCTGTATCGTCCGGTTCACCCGGCTTGAGGGGCTTGGCCGGAATTTTCATTGCGTAGGTTTGGCGCATTTCAAGTGAAGCGTCTCGCTTATCATCCTTATCGTCACCTGCGTTCTCTGATGAACCTTCCTTATTCTTGTTCTTCTTGGAGGCACGGGTGGTGGCGTTGCGAGAGCCCGGAGGGCGTCCTTTTCTTTTCTTGGGCGGCGCTGGGGCTTCCTCTTGAGGTACCTGTACTTCGGTAGCCGCCGCTGTAGCAGGATCCTCAGTTGGTGCATTGTTGCTTTCAGCAGGGCCTCCGTTGGCAGAGGTAACCTGACTGGCGGAGACACCTCCATCCAGGGATGTCTGGTCACCATTGCCCCCGGCTACACCTTCGCTCGCAGACAAGGGCTCCTCAAAAAGGCCAGAAACGTTGTCTGCCATCGATTCAGATGTTGCCGGGATCATGTCAGATGTAATACCTTCGAGGACAACTGGGAGATAAGTAGGGTCCAGGTTTTGTTGCAGTTCTGCTTCTTCGAATACACCAGCTTGAGCCCGGTTGGTAGATTCCATAGCGTCGACAAGATATGCATGATCACCATACAGATCTTGAGCATCAGCGTCATCAAGCCCGGCGTTACCAAAAATGTCGTCGGGGCTCTGGAGCTGCTCCTCGCTCGATTGCCGTTTCACGGCCCGATTCTCTTCGTCCCCAAGACCAGCTTGGTCGAACGATCTCTTCGCGGCCATTGTAAGGAATTGACCGGTAATTTTGCTCACGAAGGGGAAGAGACGTGCAACGTGCAAGCAAAGTATACCTAGTTAAGAGAGTTAGAGGTCTTGTGAGAGGGTGATTATTGGAATAATGCGTGTCAATAGCAAACAGTATGCTGCTAGGGAGATATTGTATTTCGGCACGATCCAAGAAATAGAACTCCCCTATATAGTCAAAGGTGAGATGCTGTTAGTCCTTTGGCCCCTAAAGATCAATATCATACAACAAGGACAAGGGGTTTGTTGAGATAAGTAACAAAGAGCATCTTTGTTTATTATATGGAGATAGAAAGGATGGCTGCGTTGGGAAAATGACAAAGACCTTTGGATATGAGAATCACAAATGAAATAAAGATATGAAACTGAATAGAGCAGGAATATACTGACCAGGAAGCACGTCTCAAAGTTGAATGGAACGATATGTGAACAATGTGATTACAGTCACAAAGCACTTGTTTGTACACAGAGATGTGTACAATGAAACACACCAGCTGTACAAGGACTCCTCCACTTTCCTCGTATCAACTGCGTTAGTGGGGAAGGGAGACAAGAGGGCTGTGATTTGGGTATTGGACAATGCTGAACAGTAGGCTTTGGATGCTTCCAGCAGCCTGAACAGGAGCAGCACAGTGATGCTGCCCTCTTTCAGGTGACAAAGGCAAACGACAGCGTCTTGGAGAACCCCACCAAGGAAGAAGACAAGGGGAACACGCGAGAGAGGAAGACTAAATACTCGGAACACAAAGGGGCGAGGCCTTGAGGCCAAGTTGGCAGGTTGAAGCTGGATGGATTTTTTCCTGGAAATGTCCGGGACAAACTGACTCCCCAATGCAAAAGGGAAATGACAAAGGAAAGACTGAGACAGAAGCTGTAAAGTCTGTTCCTTCTCATGATAGATTATTTCTGGTTTTTCGGTTTATCAAAATATCTGGTTTGGGTGTTCTGAAATGGTTTGTAGGTCAGGACAAACGCTCCTATTGTCTGCCTAGATTTGATCACAAGGTGCTCTATACAATTTGCATGGTTGAAGGAAAAGAGAGATACTATGGGCAGTAAACCTCGACTATGAGAAATATCATATTGATTCTACGGACAAGCTTAGTACGTTATAAAAGACAGTTATCTCTTGATTCTCACATAATTAAATATAGTCACAGTATTCACAGAAGGCCCTAAATCCAGACAAATTTCTATCTATATATATTGAAGTAAACAGAATATGTCTTCCAACGCTCAAATGACCACAGATATGCGCTACGAATAAGATCGAATCTACTCCTACGAATACTCGAGACACATACCCATATGAAAAGCTGACTGAATACAACGAAATCCATACACAAGCCCTATGGTAGTATCTCCTACAAATTTCTCTCAAACCACAGAGTACTATCTCTCAAGAAGCTACCCAAAATACTTCATTACACACCAAAATATCTCCCTTCGCCTAGCTATCCCATATGTAAAGACTCGAACTGTAGTGGTCGATTGGCTGAATATTGCCCTAACCCCAACATGACAGTCCAAACCCTGTCCAAGTAAGACCAGTATACAAAGCCAAACAGCTTCCTCCGATCCTCGAAGAGAAACTCCCAACATCATCATCATCATCATAGACCAAGATATCCACACCCTCCATCCAGCCATGCCTGACCCAGCAAGTATCCCCTCAACGAAACGAGACGAGACATTCGTAAAAGCCCAAAGCCAAGAATGACTCACACCAGACACGTCATGACTATTATCATCAACTTCAGTTCATCAATGGGAATATCCATATAGTACGGGGGAAGATGTTAGGAACCTACCGTTATCATTACTTCGTAGTTTCAATCCCGCATGAGACCCCACTCAAACACCGGGATTTACCAGATAAGAATAAGCCAAGAAAAAAGGTGCAGAAACCTTCTGTATGTCTATTGCAAGGTTGCAGTTATTGGTTGCTATGCAGGCTATATCGCTGATTATTATTATTATTACTGTGGTAGTAGGGTATTGTGTTTTTGACATCTGATGGGGATCTCGCTTAGCTAGATGGGTGGAATCATGGGTGAGATCATGGAGGGGGATTCGGTTTGATTGTTCTTGTTTGTGGAACATGAAGTAGCTTGGATGTTTGGATCTTTGTGTCCCGTGGGATTGGTATAGTGCCTCCCCCTCCCTTCCCCCCTCGTTGAAGAGGATTATCTTGAAGAGGTCTGGTGGTATTTGATTGTGGGTTCTTTAGGTGTCTCTGATTGCGTGTGGTAGTCTGTGGGAAAGGGAGATTTGGTTCACGGAAAGAAGATGAATCGTGAGTAGATAGTTGTTCTGAGGTTTACCTACTATGCTTCATCTCAGTACTACTATATGTTGAACCGTCCCCAGATCATTTAAGTGTGATAATAGTACTATAGAGGAAGCTAATGTCTTAGGGGTTTCTGGTAGTGAACTTATTCCTTGATTGAGTTAGCAGAGCACCTACCGACACTAACCATTAGACTACCTACAATAGCGCACACTAGTTAGTACCATGCGGAGAGTGGCCGGGGAATTATCATCAACCCCAGATTCTCATCCAGCTGATAGTCGAGTAGCCACATACTACACATACAGACAAACTCCCTATTTTCCCAGCAACAGCAGCAGCAGCCAGTCCTATCCCAGTGCGAGAAACTCATTCAATATATCGTTGAAGTCGGGGTTTAACGAGAAGCCCACTTTTGTTCACGAAACGACTGCGCTGGCAGGATAAAGCATAAGATCAAGTAGAGGAATAAATGTGTTGCTTCCCTCAAAGGGGCAATCCCTGCATCAACCCCAGCAGTTAAATTCAGTTATACACTATATAAGCTCCAACATGCAAGATGAGTATTATTTGAAAACGACCCCGTGTCCTCGTACATCCTATGCTCTGTTTGTGAGTGTGTGATTCAGAGCCCAACTCCTCCCATGCCCGAGTCCGTTATAACCTGGAAAGCATCCATAAACAAGGTGAAAGAAAAAACCATCCCAACCAAGAAAGAAATTAAATCTAAGAAGCCAGCAACCAGCCCGAGGGGTAAATGCGCTCCAGATATCAGTGCAATGCAGCGAGACCCATGACGGTCATCAGTCGTGAGTCCTGGAACAGAGGAAAACACACAACTCCGGTGGGGGATCCAATACCAGGGCAAGTCTAAACGAAAGTTGGAAGGAAATAAAGTGGCAGAGGGTAGAAGGGGGTGGAATAGGTAAGAGAGTGAGTGTGAGTGTGGTAAGGTCAAAATCGGGGTGGAAGGGTTTGGATGGTGAAAGTATAGGTGTTTGCAGGTGAGGTAATGGTTAACGATGCAGAGCCGAGCTATCAGCGAAAGACTCTTCCGTTTTGCGCGACGGTCTCAAACGATATCTTCTTCCCGTATTTGCGCGGTCCGTCGCCTTCGATCCACGGGAGGAGGTTCTTGCACTGACTGACATCAAAGGATGTCAATTGGTTGCAGCCGTCTGCAACTGCTTCAACGCCGGCACCGGTGACCCGGACACAGCCCCGGACGGACAGACGTTTAAGATTCAACAGATGTAGGCCAATGCAGCGCAGAGATGGGTCTGATATGGCAGAGCCACAGAAAGACATGTTGAGGTAGGTCAGTTGCGAACATTGCAGAGCGAGTACTTCTGTAGCCGTGTCGGACAGAGCACAACAGAATGACTGAAAATCGTTAGTTTGTCACCAGTTACGCATGGTGGATCAGCTTACCAAGTCTAGCTCCCGCAGCTGCTTTGCTGCATTTGTAAGATGCACGATAGCATTGTCAGTCAAATACGTGCAGTCCGCCAAGCAGAGTCTGCGGAGATTGGTGAATCGAGCATTTCCCCAAAATTGGAAGCCCTGGTCGGTAATGGTTGTGCAACGAGTAAGGTCCATCTCCTCAATCCTGGAAGCAGCATGCGATGCGATGTGGTGCATTGACCGGTCCGTAACATGCTTGCAGTAGGATAAGGTTAGTTTCTTGAGTTCGGGGCAGCCGTACACCGTCCCGGCGGCCGTCTGTCGGGTCGGCTTCATAGACGCCTTCCCTGATTTTGACTCCTCGTGTGGCTTGTGCTGGCCAGGAGAGACCCAGCCTACAATCCGAGCGAGCAGCGTATCCCCGACTTTTCGACAATTGCTCAAATCAACCTCCTGTAAGTTGTTCGCCTTGCTCGCCATGTCAAGAATGGACGATGCGGTGACATCCCAAACGCTCTTCATCTTCCAGGTGACAACGTTAGATCCACACGTCGCAACAAGTTTGCTAAACCCTTCGTCTGTTATGTGGAAGCAATTACTTATGTCCACATATCGCGGTCTGCTACCCACAAAGGGGCAAATAATCTTGACCAGTACGTCATCCGTGACGCACCGGTTATAAGTACTCAGGTCCAGGTGATGGAGCAGCTCCGTTGACTTGCTGAGAATCTCTGACCAGTGCATAGAGACCGCCCTGAGGCGAAGGAGATCATGAAGCTCGAGATACTGGAAAATAACCAAAAGGACGGGATCCGGGAGATAGCCGTGGTTGTCCCGACGTGGCTCACGGACCGTCTCCGAAGGTGTCGAGAACTCACCGGCCCCGGGAAGCGTGAGAAAGGACGAGCTAGTAGATCTAGGCTCCGATGAGGGTGAAGATCTCTGTTGCTCCCCGGAAACCTCCTCCGGCGTCAATGGCGCCACGGAGCTGCGCCGGCTTCGCAGCCGGACTTTGTCTAGGCCAACGCTGAGGAAAGGATCCGGATCGGAAGGCCGCAGCACACTTGGTTCATCTAGACCATTGGCTGTCGGGGTGCTGTCTAACTCAGTCTCTGTTAGGGTAAGAAGCGGCATGGATTGTCTGCGGCCCGCCCTCATCTTGAAGTTATCATCGACACTCAGAGGTTGCTCGTCAGCTCCCGCTTCTGACATCACAACGTCGCCATCGGACGCTGCTTGAAGCCGCTCCTTGGCGGTCCTTTCCACCTGTTCGCGAACTTTTGGAGGACACCTTTCCCAGAATTCTACTAGTACCTCACCGCTGATCATCAAACATTCCACCGCACTGATGGATCGCACGGTGGCGGTCCGGCGTGGTGCTAAGGAGAGGCTCACAACTTCACCAAAGTATTGTCCCTGTTTCAGCCGGGCTTTGACTTCGAAGCTAGGGTGCTCGATCTTATTGGGCAAGGATTGCGCATGATGGTTTGGTGTTTTCTCCGACAAAACCTCGACCTCTCCGCGGACGATGAAATAGATCTCCCGACCTTGGGAGTCCTGCTTGATGATATCGGTGAATGGCGGGTAGGAGCGCGGTTGCGCATTCAGGCCCAGGAAATGGAGGATATCTGGCGGCAGACCGGAGAAGAGGGGCAGCTCCTTAAGTAGTAAACGGACATTGACCAGTCCGTTCGCCAGCGCACTGGAGGATCCATCAGCCAATCCAGGACTCGGGGACTTTCGCTTTTTATTGACGGACTTCAAGCTTCTGCCGTCCTGATCTGCGAGGTTCAGGTCACCGGAATATGTGTCCCGCAATCTCTTTGAACCTCTCCTAATCGGACTCACAAGATCAACTGACGGTACCGAGGTCTCCTTCTTCTTCTTCTCCAAGATCATCAGTCGCTCCTGGGCCTCGTCCCGAATTGCTCGTTCTACGTCGGGGAACCGAGGGAGAATTTTCCGGAAGTCCTCCTTGGTTAAAACGACCAGTAAGCATCGAGTGCGGGCGATGATGGTAGCTGTCCGCGGGCGATCCATTAGTACACCGATTTCACCAAAAAAGGCCCCCGGTTCCAGCTCCGCATATATACTCTCGCCATCGCGCGAGGTCACGGAGACAGCACCCCGAACCAGCCAGTAGATGGCCTTGGCCTCATCTCCCTCCGTCAGAATGTAGTCATTGGGCGCATGGAGTTGTGGACGCAGATGTTGGCCGACATCGACCAGGAAGGATTCGGGCGTGGATTGGAACAAGGGAAAGGAGCGTAAGCGGTCAACGAGGTCCAGTGGGAGAGCTTGAATATTCGAGGAGGTCAAGGGCGACGGCCGTACGGGGCGGTTCGGATTGGTGATGGAATCGAACGAATGTAATAGCGACGCGGTGTCGGAGATGGGGTGAACAGCTTTTGTTCCACCACTAGCTCTGCCATGGCGCCGCATGATGGGCGGGTGATGAGGGTGTGTTCAGGGATGGCAATCAAGGACGAAACGGAATTGGAGAAGAAATTCGAGAAGGGAGCATGTAGTTTGTTGGCCGGTATCGAAGCGACCAATGGAGGCGATGACGTCGACGAGAATGAGATCACGGGGAGAGGAGCTCTCAAAAAGGCATCATGGCTGACGATGGATGGATGGAACGGAGACAGTGCGGGGGAGGGCAGATGGGCGAGGAAGGAAGGCGGTGGTAGTAGCAGTTACTAGTAGTAGTAGTGGTGGTGATGAAGGTGATGATGACGATGTTGGATGATTAGAAAGCAAGCAGCTTAATCAAGAAGGAGAAGCTAAGCTGAGCTGAGCTGAGCTGAGCTGGGAGAAAAAGAAGACGAGATGAGGAAGGAAAAGAACCAGCTCGCTACTACTCGGTGTTCTAGTTGGCTCTATGCGACAGGCACACAGTGTGCCAGAGAGGGACGGGCAAAAGAGCGGGAATCCTGCAGAGCAACAACAACAATAAACTGAATAATAATAATAATAATTCTGGAGACGGGCGGGAGAGCATGATGGGGGGGGGGAAGACTTTCTGGGTGGGAGCTAAGCTAGCTAGTTAGTTAGTTAGTAGGTATAAACCAACTAACTCGGAGTGGTCAACAGTGGTTCAGTCTAGCCGGCGGACCAGAGAAAAAGAGAAGGTCTAATTCTAAAAGGTCGTGCTGCTGCAACTTCTTTGCGAAGCGGGGATCACCAAACGTCAAATAACGCGCTTGTTGCTCCACCGCCGGTCCGGAAGCTCCTCTGATTGCCTCCCCAAAGTCAATGACGATTCGATCTCTCTTTCTCTCTCTTGTTAGGATTGACTCCGATCTGCTTCCTGTCAGTACTGTTTTCACTACTTTATTCTTTAAACTCTAGACATGCATCAAGTGGTGTGATATTCCACAGTGATGTTCTAATCTATCATCTTCGCACTGGAATCCTCGAGACAGCTGTGATGCTCCATATGTCAAACTGGCGGGAATGTGGTCAATTCTGCTGAGTGGGGAGCCATCCTCCGAAACGGAAACACCGGTCTGTAACATCGACACCGACTGGAGGAATGGACGGCCAGTGCTTTCTGGCTTTTCCCTCTATTGGTCGAATGAATAGCTAGATGGAAGTTGTCTAGTAGCTACTATCTACTACCTATAATGCTGAGCGGAGTGGGTTATTTGGTCAGGCAGTGAGTGACAGGTGACGCTATATCACTGATATTATTATCTCAAAATTCAGCACCTCAAAAGGAAGCAAAGTACGTTCCTGCTGTCGGTGGGTCCAAGTCAGAAGTCTAGTCTAGCGCAGGATTCATTCTCACACCCACCAAAAAACAGTGTGAGCTCGTAAATTACATGGCTCGAGCAAGAATGAAGATCGCTTCCAGACTGATACTATGTAGAAATCCGCAAGGTATGTCCCTATGCTACATAACACATATGTGTGAGTAAGGGTCGATCGAAGTTACAAAGTATAAGGATCGATCATGGATCCGATCGTCTCCCACCTGCATGGGGAACCATGCATCCCAGTTCGAGTTCGAGTTTCTAGACGAGTACGGTCCCTATTTTAGGCTTCAAGCCTTCTCGGCACTTGCCAGTTGCCAGGCTATGGTTCCCACGTCTACAGCCTACCAGAGCCAATAATCACCGGGTGGTCAGGATCCGTGCGCGCACGAGATCAGACAGCAGGCAGTTGCCGCTGCACATCATCTGTTCTTAATCAACCCGGCTGGTCAGGTGATGGGGACACGCGGATGAGTACTGCTTTCGGATGGTTCCAGTAATATCGTCCCAATCCCAGGGAAAGGAACGTGACTTGACATGTCTAATATTATTTTGGTATCAACAATCCTCAACTCCATCACAAGAAAATTGTCAAAGCGCGCTTCGTTACCTGCCCTTCATAGATAACTCCTATATGTGCCCGGATAACGCCTTTCCAGTCGTATTTAGCGCGTTGTTGTTGTGCCTACAAACGGCGCATCCTGGTGTTCTTGGACAGCCCGGGTATAAGGACGCCATTGACTGTCTGGCCGGCCGGTCGGTCCGGGGTGTGTGAATTGCTTCATTCGGACAGCGCTGGTCGCGCGCGGGAGTTCGGAAGACCTCTGTTCGTAGAGTGGAGATTTCTAAGGATAGTGAGGCAGGCGTGTGCAACTATTTCCGCAACCCTAGATCTCTGCCGTTAGTATATGCCTTGGTGCTTCAGGATTAGATCAGAGACTCACCTGTAAAGAGCTCGCGGGATTTCTGTGTTGCGCCTGCCAGAGAAAGATGACCGGACACAAAGCCGAGAGGCATGTAGACATCCAGCGAAAAGTGCTTACGCAGATTGCGCAGCTCTCACTCCGTCCTCGACCGACGACTTCCCAGAACGATATCAACATAGGCAGGACGAGTTCCTTGCCAAGTCTCAAGCACGTCCTGCACAATGCCATAAGCCAAGCTCAACTTCAGACCAGTCTTGGCCGAACGAGCAGCTGTATAGATATCTTGTCGCGCTAAAACCCAACAACAATGGCACAACATTAGCCCAAATTCAGAGCCCAGGGAATAGCAAACAGAGAGAATAACCCACCTAACACACTGTAAATTCCCGACATCGACAAACCCGCTGTAACCGTCGACAGAAAATCCCTCTGATCATGCCGGGCGTAATCCACCACCTCCTCCAACAAGCAGAAACACAGAGCACCAGTACCCAGTTTTAGCCCCATCTTCAAGCCCTGAGTAGATCCCTGCAAGAAAGCCTGATAATTCTTCGACTTATGGTACTGGTACCACCCCCGCGCCGCGTCGGGAAAGCGATGGGCATTCTCAGCTCGAAACCGGTAGGCTGCGGTCTTGCTGCCGTGCATGTATCCGATACCCAAACCGGCGGAAAAGGCGGATGTGGACATGTATTGAATACGCTTTCTGAGCTTGATCCCGAGTCTGGGTGGCGCATCTGCTTCGAAGAATCTGTCCCAGTGCCAGATCTTCCATAGGAGGCTGTCCTCGTGTCCCTTTAATCTGTCCCAGCTGTTCTCCACCATGGTGAATGACTGCTTGCGATTGCTGTTGGTAAGAGCGAATTAGGATCGTTTATGGCTTGGGTAATGCGTATGTTGGCGGAGGAGGTCGGTGGCTGGTTGTGGTGGTGTCAGCTTTCCCCGGGGACATAAAATCACGGGCAGCTGGAAAACGGGAAGCACCTGAGCGCTTGGTTCTCCGACTTCCGCCCGCCGCCTTGTCGAAAAGCTCCGAGGTCCCGCTGAAGATCAGCTCACTGATCATAACTTCCATACTTGACCAGTCTGCATCATGGTACTACATTATCTACTTTCTATATTAAAGGACATGCTGATGTGCTAACCTAATTTATGTCTATAGTCTCAACCCGACCCCCTAAGCTGGACTCTGCTCTTCAAGAAGCACAAGACCACCGTGCTTCTGATGCTCCCGCCATCGGAGTCGATCGCCACTACGAAAGAAGCGCTTCTCAAGGCCCTCAAGTCCCGCGAGATTCGCGAAATCAACGGTGACTCGGTTCCAGAAGATCCATCTCAGATTGAGTTCGGCGTTGCGGTGGATAAGAATGATCTAGAGAAGGGCTGGACAAGACTGGAGGCCGAGGTGCCTGCGTTCGATGATGACAATGCTCCTAAACGTGGAGCTGCGAAGAAAGGTTCTGGCGCTCTCACGCTGCAAGCGGCTGAGATAAAGAATGGGCAGCCTATTGCTTTCAGATTCCGGAAGCCTAGAGAGGACTCGGAGAAGGGTGAGGACGTGATTGACCTGGAGCTGGATGATCCTGGTTGGGATGTGATTGTTCCGAGCTTTGATGATGAAGAGGAGGAGGTTAACTGAGCTCATCCTTGTAAAAATGCTTCTTTAGATGGTGTTCAGAAACACTTTCATGGGTTGGCGCATGGTTGATACGGGGCTCATATCGGCGGCGTTTACGTTTCTTTTAGTGACAATACTTGGGCAGAATACAATGATGTGGCAGTCAAGAATTTCATGGAATAGAGTCTATATATACTAGGCAGGACTCCCAAAAGCAAACGGAGCTCTTGTAGTACTAAAAATAATGGTAGTTTTGGCACTGATGGTTCGCATGCACGTGAGGCTATCAGTATTTGAATCCACTTCAATACATCTCTCCGAATTGGCAGCAATCTAGGGATGTCCGACGAGTCATAGCTCAATCCAGTGGAGGTACAACAGACAGAATGGAAATGCGGGACACACTACAGCCAATAACGTCCTGTCGAGTCTGTCTTACCGAAGCTCTGCATTGGATAGTAAACAAAAAATAGACATGTACCACGGAAAAAGCAACAAAGTAATGATCAATGAATCATTCTCAGCCTATTCCATCATTGCAACCAGCTGTGGACCAATCAGGAAACAATGGTGCGTGGTGTTATGAGCTATATGCCGTATGCTAGAAACAAATAGTCATCGTACCAAGGAAGGTTCTAAGCGATAACGTTGTAGCCACAACATACTTGGATTATCAACACGGCGGATGGTTGCTCGGAGCAACAAGGCGGTGGAAAACAAGCGGGTGTCAACAGTCAGGCCGAAGCTGGAACTAGTGCTCAGCGTTGCTCAACAGGGGAATCTCTGGGGCCGACGGAAAAACAGGTCCACAGTCAACATTCTTCACGGTTGACTCCTCAATCCTTATCTTCTACAGCTCGTTGTTTCTCATCAATTCGCCTTGCCGACGATACAGGGCGTCGCAACGTCCCTGGATAGCCGCCCGCCGCGTTGAATCCTCTTCCGCGATAGCTCTCCTCTAGAGGGACGTGGCGCCTCTGCTGTCACCTACGAAACACCATGGCCGACTCTTCATCGATCACCGTTGCGGTCCGAGTTAGACCGTTTACCATCCGGGAGGCAGCACAGCTCTCCAAATGCGAAGATGGTCCGCTCTTCCTTGGTGACGGCTCCTTAGCTGGAGCACCGACACCAAAGCTCAACCAAAAGGGCCTTCGCTCCATCATCAAGGTCATTGATGACCGATGCCTGTGAGTTTAACCTATACCATGCTGTCTTGATACGATCTAATCAGTTATTCAATAGTGTATTCGACCCTCCGGAGGACAATCCCGTACAAAAGTTCTCCAAGAGTGTTGTCCCCAACGGAAAACGTGTCAAAGATCAGACCTTCGCCTTCGATCGGATTTTCGACCAGAATGCCTCTCAAGGAGAGGTTTACGAATCAACGACCCGAAACCTTCTCGACAGCGTTCTCGATGGCTACAACGCAACAGTGTTTGCATACGGTGCCACAGGTTGTGGAAAGACTCACACCATTACAGGCACAGCCCAGCAGCCCGGTATTATCTTCCTGACAATGCAGGAATTGTTCGAACGCATAGATGAGCGATCCGGAGAGAAGGCGACTGAGGTTTCGCTTTCCTATCTCGAGATTTACAACGAGACTATCCGTGATCTTCTTGTGCCTGGGGGTAGCAAAGGGGGGTTGATGCTCCGAGAGGATTCAAACAAGTCCGTGTCGGTGTCAGGATTGTCAAGCCATCACCCGCAGAATGTACAGCAGGTTATGGACATGATCATGAGGGGTAACGAATGCCGTACCATGTCCCCGACCGAGGCAAACGCTACCTCATCGCGGTCGCACGCAGTCCTTCAGATCAACATTGCGCAGAAAGACCGAAACGCCGATGTGAACGAGCCCCATACCATGGCGACTCTTAGTATCATCGACCTTGCGGGTAGTGAGCGTGCCAGCGCCACCAAGAACAGGGGAGAGAGACTGTTTGAAGGTGCAAACATCAACAAGTCCCTTCTCGCCCTTGGAAGCTGCATCAATGCACTCTGCGATCCTCGGAAACGAAACCACGTCCCCTATCGAAACTCCAAACTGACCCGTCTCCTGAAGTTCGCGCTTGGTGGTAACTGCAAGACTGTGATGATTGTCTGTGTTAGTCCATCCAGTCAGCACTTTGACGAGACGCAAAATACCCTACGCTATGCCAACAGGGCAAAGAACATTCAGACGAAGGTCACGCGCAACGTATTCAATGTCAACCGTCACGTCAAGGACTTCCTGGTGAAGATTGATGAGCAAATGGCCTTGATTAATGAACTTAAAGCACAGCAAAAGGATTCCGAGAAGGTCGCCTTTGCCAAATTCAAGAAACAAACCGAAAAGAAGGATGCAGTCATTCGTGAAGGGCTGTCCCGCATTCGCAATGCGTACGATCATTCTTTATCGGAGCGACAGGAGAGAACCAACCACATGATCAAGCAGAAGCAGATCAGTCGCCGGATTGGATTGCTCTCTGCGTGGATCGGCGCTTTCGACCATATCTGCGCCAGTTGTGAAGCTGAGGATGCTCTGTCCAATCTCAGGGCAGTACGGAAGACAGCCCAAGGAATCCTTCTCGAACTGGAGAGTAGCAGGCAACATTATCACCAGCGACTGGCGAAGAATGCGTGGGACCGCGGCATGACGTCCGCGGTGGAACACGCCATTCGTCAACTTCAAGACTTTGATATCAGCGACAATGGCGATTTCGTCAGTATGACTCGCGAGGCCGAGCTTCTGAGGGCCAACCATGAGCGTGAGGCTTTGGCGGCAGTCGCTGAACAGGACAAGGCGGGCGAAGCGGCCACTGTGCAATTGCTTCTCCAGGCACAGTTCGAACTGATTACTGAGATCGAGAATCTTATGCAACTCAGTGAGGAAGAAGCCATTGAGCAAGGGCAGAAAATGCTAGCAAAGATGCTCAATTCTTGTTCCACCTCAGTCTCTAACATCGTGAAGCCAGACGGTAACCTGCCATCCATGCCGCCATTGAGCCCAGTCAAGGCTAGTCCCCTCAAGCAAAAGAAGAGGCTGAGCATCGCGACTGCCGCCCCCTTGGGCCGACCCTTGGCTGCACCTGTCTTGACTCCTACAGCAGCGCCGCCTTCGCCGCAGAAGGGATCTCCCCGACGTCGCAAGTTGAATGTCGGCAGAAAGAGCGTCAGTTTTTCACCAAAGAAACCCGCCGCGAAACCGACGAAGAGAAGTGTACGGTGGAAGGACGACGAGCACGAGGGCACATTGACCGAATTTCAAAAGACACCACAGAAGACGCAAATTACCACTATACCAGAGAACAGCCCGGAGCCCCAGCTGCCCCAGCTACCCCGGACATCGCCCATTCCTCGCGGAATTCCAGTGCCCAGTCGCAACTTCAGTCCTTCTTCAGGCGGGTCACCCCCAGTGTCCGCAGTTCCCGAACCGACGCTCAACGTGCAAAAGAACAACCGATTCAAGGCGGGATTCTTGACGAAAAAAAACAGCAGCTCCCCAATAGCACCCCCACCAACAACAACCCTTCCCCTGTCCGACAGCGAAAAGTCACCCCTGCGCGACATCGAGGGCAGCAGCTTCCTGAACCGGGCGTCCGTCGAGCGCCCCTCTAGGATTGCGGTCCGGACATCGAGTGGCAGCTACTCGGGCAGCCCGGCATCCGACAAGAACAGCTGGAAGGCAAGCAAGGACGATGCCATCAAAATTACCTCTGCCATGAGACGGATTTCTGGAGGATCGTTCCAGGTGGGCAGCTCTGCCAACGCCCTGCGCATCCACCGACGACGAAGCCCGACATCAGCCACCTATGGAAGCTCTCCGACTGAGAACAACACAATGAACACTATGAATACCATGTTCACGGCCTCTCAGGCCCGGCGAATGGGCAAAGGCGAGAAAGAAATTGATAGCAAGCCCGGGGTGTTGGGCCCTCGCACCCTGCCTATCATGAAGAACACGCATCGACGCACTACCTTTGGCGGCGACATCCGGCCCCGAGACATCAGCCTGAGCAGCAGAGATGCTATCCGGCTCAGTGCGATGGCGACGCCTAAGCTGGAGAAGCCCCCGGCGAGCTTCTCCAACGGTGGATTCGCCCTGCGGTAACTGAAGTGATCCGCAATTCCCTTTGTTTTAATTGTTGGGGTCTAGGTAATACGGACGGTGTTCAGGAAGGATACCACATGCTTTGATTTCTGGTGAAGCAGACCTCGCGATCTGGGATCAGACCTGCTCATCTGGTGTGTACGGGATTGATGTGCTTGATATGAACTTGGAAAGATTCATAAACTCGACTACTTTTTTTCGCTTCTCTTTTTCATGTTGATGGTATTTCTTATTCAGAGGCATATATTAGTTTCGGGACATGTACCATAGCAGGATGAATTTTCCTATACCTTCCACCCATAACAGTAAGCACTAAACTAGGCTGTCCAGTGTCCACTACTAGTACTTCTAGAAGTCAATTCTAGAAGCCTTCCTGATGTCATGCACGGAATGACGCCACCGCCCGCCTGCATGACAAATCCACTTCGTCAGTTCCCTACTATCTACTAGTCAATTAACTACTAGAGTCTCCTAATATCATCCTCGAAAATCACCTACAATTCCATCAATCTCATCTAACCCAAGCACAACCATCCACAAACACAAAACTCATATACGCGGGACCTTCTAACCTCCAACCGACCCCTCATCCCCGCCTCCCGCGGGACCCAACACCACCCACCGCGGTGGAGCTCCGCGAAAAAAGTCCATGGCCTTCGCGACATCCACAACTTTCACACGCACATTACTCCGCCCATTCATCTCAACCAACTTCGCATCCCTATCCCTTACTCCCACCACAGCCACATCAACAACAATCGCACGCACCATGTCCTCCACCACATCCACATCCACCCCCCAAACCGCCACCGTCGCCGCCGGCTGCTTCTGGGGCGTGGAACACCTCTTCCGCAAACACTTCGGCAACGGCAAGGGCCTCCTCTCAGCGAAAGTAGGATATTGCGGTGGTCACAGTGCCTCGCCTTCTTACCGGGCAGTTTGTACGGGTGATACTGGACGTGCGTACCCCATGCCCCTCCCCAAGTCTCCCACTACACTAATCACGATACTAATATATGGATGGGGAAATGATATAGACGCCGAAGCCCTCCAAATGACCTACGACCCTAGCATCGTGAGCTACCGCTCCCTGCTCGAGTTCTTCTATAGAATGCACGACGCCACGACGCTGAACCGCCAGGGTCCGGACGTCGGCACACAATACCGCAGTGTGATCTTCACGCATAACGACGAGCAGGAGAAGATTGCCACTGAGGTGACGGACAAGGTCAGCAAGGAGTGGTTCAAGCAGCCGGTTTCGACGGTCGTGGTGCCTGCGGGTCAGTGGTGGGATGCGGAGGAGTATCATCAGTTGTATTTGAATAAGAATCCCGAGGGGTATGAGTGTCCGGCTCAGTAAGTTTCTTTCTTTCTTTTGGGTCCCTTCGGGTGGGGGTGATGCTAATGGGTGGGTATAGTTTTGTGAGGTCGTTTCCTCCGCTTTCTGAGTAGGGTGGTGATTGTTGGTGAGCTATGGGTTGGGAGATTGGTGTATAGTGTATAGTTGAATGGCATTTTTGTTGCTTGTTTATTGTTAAGCTGGTTTATGGTTATTACAATGTCTACTTCTGGTATGATCATACTGTTCATTAACATCCTGATTACAGCCCTAATAGTAGTAACCTGTGCAAAAGCAACTCCATCCTAGAATCCGTGACATTTCCATAAATGAACAGAACCCCTTATTCAGGTCCGTGGCCGGCACGGACCGACTCAGGCACACCCTCCCATATCTCCAGTGTATGGAGGTGGGTCAGGTTTCGCATTTCCAACTTGCAGATGGCCGGCGTCATCCGGACTACATGACACATGGTGCCCGTTCAACCTTTCTCACTCAACACTACTAATGATGCAATGGATGTGTTATCCTTTGCGTGGCATGTGCCATCTGCAGGCAAACCGCCTGAGTCAACGCAGGGTCCGTTTGATAAAGTTCCTGGCCATGCCAGGGCGGTTGGTCTCGCGAACCAGCACCAATTCTTTCTCGCAAGGGTCCGAGGAGTAAGTCACCGAAACGCCACTGTAGACGTTTCGGCCGTTCTTCCAATCCTCGAAGACCTCGAGCACACGGCGAGCAACGACGGTGCTCGTGAACACGGCAGTCGCTGTGGTCATTAGCATTGCTTGATGGTTTGTGATCGCCAAAAGATCTAAAGTAGGTACTTACCGTTACCAGAATTGAACACCCAGAGGAAATCAATGTTTCCTGGTCCAGCCAGAGCACGAATGTCTTGCTTCCATTTATCGGGAGACATGCCTTCGGCAAAGAGTCTCTTCCTCGCAAAAGAGAGGCGGCGACGCTCCCGGATGGGTTGGTTCATCCGACGATGGTCTTCATTCCAGTCGATAATCTCGGCCAGCTCGACGCGGTAGCCTTCTCCAAGACGTCCATAGCCCAGCATGCGCTCCATATCCTGATTAGAGTTCAAGAAGGCAAGCGCCTGGGCTGCGTGCTGGAAGGTCACCTTAGTCCTTCCATTAGTCTCCACGCGGATGTCCTGCAAGGGTCCTTCGTGGATGCGGGTAGTGATATACTGGATGAAGTCCCGAGTAATCTTTCCATAGACACGGATGACTCCGGCTTTAGCGTCGGGGATGTCGGGAGAGACAGATGCAGGGAGCGCGACTCCGGCATTTCCTGACTCACGCCCTTCAGTGCCATCGTCACTGCTCTGGCTTGGCTTGGACACGGAGCCCAACGCCAGAGACATAGGTGACATACACTGCACCTCATTTGGGGCATGGCTACGACCAGTAGAGATCGAGCCGGCGACCTGGGCCCAGCTTCCAGTATGTAGATGACGTCCTTCGGGCATCTTTCTGGTCCCATCCACATAGCCATTGTTCTCCTTCTCGGTGTCGCACAAGTAAGTTGAGCCATTTGGCTTCTGGCTATCGATGTGAGAGGAGAGCTGGGTGCTTGCAGATTCCTGAGTGGCACTATCCTGCTGTGGTTGTTAGTGTCCATTGCATTGTATCGCCATTAGACTCGTTTGTTCCTGCTTACCTCAGGGGCCAGGACATATTCCTCGGGAGTAAGATGCTCAACTCCCTCAGAGAACTTGTTCACAATCATAATGCTAAGCTTTCCGATCTCGTTGGCGACGTGGTGTTGTCCATGCACACGGAACTACGTGGTTTAGCTCGCTAGTTTGACAGAAAGGTGAGTTTCATAACCAACATGGCAAGAGATAAGGTTGAGGTGATTAAGGGCCTCAGCCATGGCACCGTCAATTGAATAGGGCCTCATCTTTGGAGATGGGCGAGGGTTAACGTTGACGATAGTTCTTGCTTAGTACTGAAGATTATAAGATGCGTCGCCGTGGAGGAGAGGTAAACAAAAGAAATTGAAGATATGATGAGTTGGGATGAGATCCTGATGGCAGAGAAGGATAAGAAGAAGAGGATGGGGAGGAAAGAAACAGAAGGGGGAAGAGAAGAGAAGAAAGAAGCGAGAAGAGGATTTGGTTTATTCACCCCGAGCTGGAGACGGAGTGAAGGAGAGAGCAAACCAGGCAAATCGAGCTTGGGGTTTTGATGGCAGTTGCGGACTAGTAATCAGCAACGGGACTTCCTGAGATATTGCAAGCTATTTAACATTTATTCTGAAATGGTTATGCTCTGCACTGGGGGTGATACCATCTCCAGATTCTCGGAAACTGCCTTAACGATTTCGTGAGGCTTCACAGGGTGGTAGCTGATGATGAAGGCAAAATAAGAGCAGTCTGTCAGAACCTATGAGGATTATCAGTCTCTTCTCTGGAAAAGAGAAAATCTTTTATATTTCAATCTTCATTAAAGCAAACCAACTAATAATTCTGTCGGAACAAGCCAGCCATCCCTCTGATGGAAAGATTGACCTTGGCAGCTACAGCTTTTCTGGAAAGCTACAACTGATGATTCATAACTACCAACTTGAGGACTTTGTATGTTTCAATACATATTCTTGCTTCTATCATGTATTTCACATACTTAATCACAGTGTTGCCCCACTTGCAGTGTTACATACAACAAGCTCAATCCACTGGCATTTCTCCGAGAGGCCATGACATTGTAGACTTCATGGTTTTAGACAGTTAGTTGTTTCATTCTCATTTAGTGATACATCAGACACTTTTGTCTGCACGAATAAGTACCTGCATCTATGAGTTATGCAGCACACCACACAACCCGAGCTTGATGCCTTTATAGAGAGCAGTAGTAGTCGCAGATTTCAAAGATAAGCATTTATATTGTCAAACACACGCCTTAGTCTCGAACCCTTACGACTCTACTCCCTTACTTTTGTCTCAATATCTCCGTGTACTAGAGCAGCCTCAAATCGGATACCTTGTCCATCTACTTCAATTCATCATAACCATATCAACACATCAACACATGACAACGTGGCAAGCAAACCTCCATTGCTGAGTCGGCAGCATTTGCCATCGATAAATACATAGTGGCAATTTAGACATGGTCATCCTAGTATAGTGCTGCCATTACTACAGAGAAGCAATACGATGATGCCATCTGTGCGTGATACAGCCGCCGAGGATATACTAGTACTTGTATAGTTCGGGGCCGAAGAAAGTAAGTTCTACCATGGAAAAGCACACATTTGTGAGTGACATATGATGTAAGAAGGATTGGCCTCCATCATACTAGGATATATTGACGCTATAATATCTACAGTCAGGTTAAGAGCCAGAAACCTATTTCTGATGAACTAATAAGTGGCGAGAAGTGTAGTTAGGGTAAGAGTATGGTTATGTTCGGGGAAGTATTTTTTTTCCATGGACTATATTTCACTCAAGCTGATTGTACATTCTCTATAGTCAGAGCAAACTGACCAAAGCAAACAGTAGAATGTGCCATAACCCCACACCAGACATCTATTTAAGCTTGTATTGAGAGAAATACTAGCAATAAAATAGCCTCACTTTCACAAACGATACACTTCCAACAACCCATAAACAACCAAACAGACCCATCACACAGCCATCCATCAACCGGGGTTCACAATAACCTAGTCTAAACACCGCCATCATTCTCGGCCGATGATCCTCATGCAGCCAATCGCGCCACATAAGAGCCCGACCGGTATTTAGATATCCGCAATCACAACTGTTCCATCGCTGGATCATATCAAGATTAAGACATGTCATGTCATTTTCCAGATAATTAGGTTCTTATCTGTATGTTGCTCCAATCATTTCTCCCCCACACAGCCTAATCATTCTTGATTGCCTTGAGCCACTCACTCTCCCCTTGCATACACATTCAATGGGTATTCGCAATGGGTGATGTAAGTTTAATATTTACTTACTCGCTGTGAGTGGGAAAAATGTATACATCATATGGATAGATAAATCGGGGTCTGTTCGTTATATTGTTGCCTTTTCCGTGTTATGTTGTGTGGTAGCTGCTCATTAGACGAAGGGGGGTTGTAACTATGTACCTGATTTTCCATGTGCGGGGGGCTTATTACTATTGTTCATACTTTGTATGGATCCAGAATTAGCAAACCAACTAGCTAGCTAGCTAGCTAGCTTGGAAAGGTAGATGGTAGTCAGGAACAGCTGCTGAGTGCTGACAATTGTGTGCGTGTGCTCCGAGCTTCATCGTAGATTTGAAATTAGAGCTGGTGCAGCAGGGATTTTAAAGTTTACTGAAAGAAAACCAAGCAAGTTACCCCTGCATTGGACGAAGGCCTCTGCAAATAGGAGAGAGATTTCTGGGGAATAGAGTTCAGTAGATGCGGTGTGTGATTTGGGTTTCCAATGGGGGGAGAAGATGCCAATCCTCCCGCTTCAATTTTAGGACCTAGCACTGTCCTACTACTACTAGTTTGCTCAGGAGGTTTGCAGCAGATAAGAGAATACGATACTAGTTAGTATCTAGATAATGATAACGATTACTCCCGTCAATATTACCCCAATAAAGAATTAATCTATGAACTAATATAATAAATAATCTAAATACATCATATGTTTGAAGTAGCGAATTCATTCACGGTTTCAGATGTGTTAGTTTTGCTTATGTCCGCAGTCGGGGTTGGTGGATTCAATTAGCTACTCGGGTCTCGGTTTTAGATTGATGACTGACACATATGGTGTCATTGTGGATAAACGGTGTTATGGAGCCACGAACGGGGAGGGGGAGCAGGGCAGCATGACATTGTATTCAGAAGTCAGATGGGATTGAAACCATTTTTCCTTTTTTTTTTTTCTTTCCCCATTGTAATCCGGCAACCCGCAACCCGCAACCTGTTGTTTGCTTGCTTCATCCGACAGATTTCATCATGCAAACATGTTGTCAGAGAAGCCACATTCCATGGCTGTTTTGTGGCAAAGACATCCCCGGCTAAAAATATCCCAAGCTTCCGGGTGATTTGTTTTTCAGATTTTTTTTTTTCTTTGTTTACAGTGTATTATTCTCTTTTTAGGATTTTGCTCATATCTTCATGCCAATGCTTGGCTCCCTGACAGAGCAGACAATCCACGAGCTAGTTACTTAGTTATTTATCTATGAACCACGGGAGACTGTCGTGTGCCGAGCGCCGGATTCCTTGATCTGATGAAATCCCCTCCGATTCGGGCAGGTCCATAGAAATCAAGGCGATGAGATAATCCGGCATGCGCGCGCACAGCCAACGTGAGGATGCCGCCCCGTTGGTGTAACAACCAGCCCTGCTTCCAAGGACGATTGCGGTAATCCATTGTTGGTCAAGAGACCTGTTCGCTTCTCCTGTTTTGAACATACTGTGTAAGTGATGTATGTATATGTACTCTGTAAGTTTGAGATTTATTATTATTATCATCAGCTAGTTAGGCAGACGAATAAAATTGACCGTTCGCGACTAGATGAATTTTCATGTCTTGGATCTCTTATCTGGGTGCGCGGAATGACCGGCTGTCAACTCGAATTTCTTTCTATTTTTCCCTCAAGACTAACTAGTCCGGTAGTTAGTAGATAGGACTTTTCCGTTTGCTGATTTGATTCCGAGGGACAAGGCCCATTTGGTTTAAGACATTGCGGGTGACCGAGTGAGCACCAACCGGGGTTTATTTGTTGTGGATTTAGTCATAGGGGGGGAACCACATGGGGAGGGGATGGGGACACTTGGGCTATGTAGATACCTGCCTAGTAGGCTTTGCGGGATATTTGGTTGCTCTTGAAGATGATGTTAAGCGAGCACGAGATTTAGTAGCACCCTTGGTTGGGTCTGGGGAAGATTGAAGAAGGGTCAAAAAAAGGGGAGAGTTTTTTAGTTTTATGTGGATGAGCGCACCCTTCTCCATGATCAACCCCAAGGATTTCCCTGTTTTGTTGCAGTGTCAAGGACAGACAGGACAGCGCTAGACGAGTAATTCATCTACTAGTTTAGTTTCTAGCTCGGGGTGCTTAGTGGCCCAAAGCAGCTCCTGCCGATAAGGAACTTACTGTGTAAGAGAAAGAAAGCAGAAAGCAGAAACCCACGGAGGAATTAACTTTTGGTGGAGTGGGGCAGGGTCTGCTTCGAGACTAGCGCACTAGTAGGGGTCCCGGGGCAGATCAGGGATTCGTCCATTGAAAGCTTCCCAATCCAGAAAGAACGACGGATCCTGCATGGAAAGTTCTCTTGTACCGTGATGGTAAATACCGCTTTTACTTTACCTTTCGCTGTGGTCGGTCCGAGTGCTCTTATCAGGCAGGGTCAGTAACTACTGGGCAAAGGTGAGTGACCCTGAGATACCGAACTGATCATCGGGCCAACAACATGCCAGATGTGGTCAGAGGGCATCCTATTCAGCTGGGCCATCTCAAGTTACTCGGATAGCTAATCTAAACAAAGGGATAGAAAACCCCCGGGATGTCTCTCCGTCTGCGTGAGGGGGGAAGAGGGGAACAGACAACGTTCTCGAAAAGTTCTCGTGCTGCTGCTGCTGCTGCTGTTGCTGGAAACCGAATACGCCGTATGAGGCCGTGCATTACCAGCAAGGTGAAATTACCTGACGGGTGGGCTACGAGGTCCCACCGGAACCGCATTCGCATTGAACCGTTCCTTCCACAACGAGAGAGACAGAGAAAGTGAAGAGCGCCGACTTTCTAGGCAAGAACTAGAGGCTATATAGTATATGACTTCTCCTATTCCTCCTCCCCAATTCGGGTGACTTCCTTCCTCATTGTACTCGTGGCACAATCCCGGGCTCGTTCTATCGTTACTCGACATCTCTTCCCCGGTCGTCTTCTACTTCTTCCTCTGCTCTCTTCACTCGTTCTCCTGCCCAGTACTCCTCATCCTTTTTTCTATCCATCTCTCCCTCGGCGGTCATACGGCGATAAGAATACTTACCTCCCGAATTTTCCGCGGTCCCTCATTATCGGCGCAACTTTTGATTGGATTCCACTTGCATAGTCCTTGGATTCTCCATCACTCAATTCTACCGCCCTCTTTATATAGAAACCGGTATCTTTATCCTTCACTGCGGTAAAGAGAAAGGCCAAGACTGAAGTTTGGTACGCCCTAACTTTCCTTTGCCACTCAGGCACAGCCAACATTAGAGCCAGTGAATTTTGTGCCTTAATTACTATTAATAAACTAACGGTTTCCCTCCGCAGTGTTGTCTTGCACGTCTCCAGACCAATCTCTAGTGTCTAGCTATACAAGCATCTACTTCCTACTTTCACTGAACCCTGTCCGCCACAATGGTGCGGTACACTTCTTCCATTCTCTTGGCCTCGTTGGCCGCCACTTCCGTCTGGGCTGCCTCGTCCCCTCCTACATGCAGTACCAGCTCTCAGTGCCCCGAAGAGTATCCTTGCTGCTCTCGTGCGTTGGTCCCTTTTCAAATATAGCCCTATGTGGTATTACCTCATCCGCTAATGCTCCTTTAGAATATGGACAGTGCGGTACTGGTGCTTACTGCTTGGGTGGTTGCGACCCCATTTCGTCATACTCTCTAGACTCTTGCGTTGGTGAGCCCGTGTGTCAGAGCAAGACCTACAAGTGGGACTCTCTCGATAGTGCCGCGCTGAACACCAAATACCTCGGAAATGCGTCTGAATACGACTGGGTCTACAGCGGCTACCCCAAGTTGGATGATGGAAATCTTCTCCTCACTATGCCCAAGAACACCGTTGGTACCCTCTTTGCGAACAACCACTACGTCTGGTATGGCAAGATTTCCGGCAAAGTCAAGAGCAGCCGTGGTGCCGGTGTCGTCACAGCTTTCATCCTGCTTTCGGACGTCAAGGACGAGATCGACTTTGAGTGGATTGGTGCGGATCTGGCGAATGTCCAGACCAACTATTACTGGCAGGGTGTTCTGAACTGTAAGCCTACCATCGAACCGAATGCAATTCTTAAAACCCGCTGCTAACATGCCTTGTGCAGACAACAACGGCGATAAGGATGCCGTCAACGGAAGTGATACATTCGATGATTGGCATGAGTATGAGATTGACTGGAAGGAAGATGCGATTACCTGGTCTGTGGATGGTCAGGTCAAGCGGACTCTCACCAAGGAATCGACCTGGAACGAAACTGCTAAGCGCTACCAATACCCCCAGTCCCCATCCAGAATGCAGCTTTCCCTGTGGCCCGCCGGCCAAGCCAGCAATGCACCCGGAACCATTGAGTGGGCTGGCGGCGAAATCGATTGGGACAGCCAGGACATCAAAGACAAGGGTTACTACTATGCCACGTTCAGCGACATCACCGTTGAGTGCTACGATGCCCCGAATGGCACTGTTTCGAGCGGAAACAAGTCGTACATGTTCACCAACAAGGACGGGCTACAGCAATCGGTTCAGATCACCAACAATGACACCGTGCTTGCATCTTTTGGTGCCACCGGTCTCGACATGGATCTCGGTGCCAGCGACTCTAGCAGTTCTGGAACTAACGGTACGGTTCCTGAGAACCAGGGAGGTTCAGGAAACGTACCAGGCAGCAGCAGCACCACTAGTGGCAGCTCAAGTACCTCTTCTGGATTCAGCCAGGGCAGTAGCACCGACACGAGCGGTGCCCCCTCCCAGAATGAGCGAGTCATGAGAGGCTCATTCTTTGCTGCCTTGGTCGCAGTTGTCGTTCTGGTCGCTCTCTAAGGAGACTCGACAAGCAACCATCTTCTTCACTTCTTGGATATTCTTATTCACATAGCTCGATCCTCGGTGCATGCCCCTCCTTTACGACTTGTGTTATCATTCTTAATCCTCTTTACTGTTCTATACCTGGCGCTCCGAACGCCCGTCTTTGATCGGATCTTGTACTTTATGTTTTTGCCCCCATTGGATGTCTTTATGGTTCTTATGACTGCGCCTGGGTGGTTGCGTTTTTACTCTGTCATGGACATGACTTGAATACACATACTAATACCCCTTTTCCGCTGGGTAATCAGGTGCCCGGTAGTTGGACGTGATTATTTTTCTTTTCCTGGTCTGGTGTTTGCATGGTAGATTACTGAATGCCAATGGGTTATTTGGTCTGACAGACAAGCGAGTACCGAAATTGGACTAATGTACATCACTTTAATTTACCAGATGACACCGAAGAACAAGTTGCAACGTAAAAGTAGCTGCAGGGGAGCCTGCAACTTTCGCGGGCGATACACGCTCTCCGTCGGAACCCCCCCACCAGATTCCCCATCAAGACAGTTAAAAAAGGCATTACTATATACAAATACGCACCCCAACATCGCCAACCCTACCACTCTACTACTTGCCCGCTCATCCTAAGCAACTCATCACCCACCAATCAACTACAATTACTCTTATACAACTCAATCAGACCTAAAATACTACTGAACCAGGATAAAACACAATAAAACTGTACCATCTACATCGGAATACTCCACCCTACCCCCCGATGTAGATAGACACTATGTCTTCTCGCTGCTACGGAGTTAGCCATAGTATGAGATAATGCTGTATCAGCTGATTCGAATCAATTATTGCGGAGGGAGAGATACGGATTGCTGTTTTGGGATGCTGGTGGGGGGAGAACACCGTTGCTGTGAGCCTGTTATTGGTGGGGGAGGGGGAGGGGGGGAGGTCCATGGATATAGATGGGGTGGTGAGTGATGCTTTGATATGTTACTTAAGTCTGATATAAGGTATAAGATATTGGGGGAGTAATGAGATTAGGATCATGGATAATCCAAAATGGTTATACGTATGTTATGCATTCTATACGGGGTCTTTACTATCTGGGTTGATGGGGGAGTAATGTATTAAAGGCTAAGAAAAAAAAGCATTCTGATAACTCATATAAACTGATTTGTGGTTGTGGTTAACGCCAGACACCCTCACCAAAGTATTATGCAAACATTGGTTAATTTAAATCATCATTTGTCAAAAGTTGTTGTATAAATGGCAAGATGGATAATTCATGATTAACGAACTAGACGTGATAGAAATAATCGTGACAATTGTATCGGCTTCAGTGGCTCTCGCCACAGCTGCAGCCTCGTTCGGAGAGTCCGCGCTTGCGGAACTCGCCGTGGTACGTGTCTAGGCCTTCGGTTCGGACATCCTCGCCTAGAGGGTCGCCGAGCCAGCCAAAGGGACTATCTTCGGAAGACATGGTCCAGTAGTCGGAGGAGAGGAGCTTCTTGGTCGTGCTCTTGAGGTCCACGTCTAGGAAGTCGGCCAGGAAGTCGCCGACTTCGGTGTTCTCGTGGTTGCCCGCCAGGGGAAACGCGAGTTTTCCGGAGGCGTAGATGTTGACATCGACACCTGATGAGGTTAGTTCGTGATTGACGGGAGTTATTTGGATGGTGGTATCATACCGGAATGTCCGTGGGTTGACCACCCAATTTGGGCCCTGCGGCTGACAATATCCGCAAAGACGTATTGGGGGTCATATGGGTAATTGGGATCGAGAACGGCTTTAATCTCCTCGTCCGTGACATCTGTGATGCCAAGGTCATTCTCAATGAGATTGCGGACGAACTTATACTGCTTATCTTCGTCCGATTCTGTGGCAATATATTTCACTAGCTTCTTGTTGACGTACTCCGAAGAGTGACTGGCGTTGGCGAGGACACCGGGAAGCCATTTGTAGTCGGGGTATTCGGGCTGTAGCTGACGTGCGACTGACAAGCCTCCAGTCTCGTGGTCGGAGGTGCTCACGACCACTCCCGGAGTCGAGTCCTGCTCTAGGAACTCCAGCACGGCAGCAAAGGCCTTGTCGTATGCCAAGACTTCATTGACTTGTGCAGCTGGGTCGTTTCCATGGCCAGCATGGTCGATGCGCGAGCCCTCAATCATGAGGAAGAATCCCTGCTCACTGTCGGCGGTAGCCTGACTGAGAATCGTCAAGGCGGTGCGAGCCATCTCCTCAAGAGAGGGGTACACGTCATTCTGGCTGCGGCGGTCGATCTCAAAGGGGATGTCTTTTTCCGCAAAGAGCCCCAGTAGTGGCAGCTTGCCTTCCGTGCCTCCATTCAGAGAGTCAAACCCGGCTCGATCATCCATGTAATGGTATCCACCCTCCTTCGCCAGCTCGACAAGGTCACGGTCATCGCCCCGACAGCTTCCATCGGTCGAGTTGGGCAAGAAGTGACACCGACCTCCACCCATGATAAGATCCACCACGCGGCCCAGCGGGTGCTCCCCAATTTCCTGTTCCGCAATTCGGTCTTCGTACTGTCGGAGATTCACATGTGAAGCAAAGCAAGCCGGTGTCGCATCGGTGATACGAGTCGTCACTACCAGCCCCGTCTTGTAACCAGCCAAGGAGGCAGCCTCGAGGACGGTGCCACACGGCGAATGGTCAGGAAGCACGGAGATGGCGCCGTTGTAGCTCTTATGACCACACGAGAATGCCGTCGCACCGGCCGCGGAATCCGTCACAAGGCTGGAGCTAGATCGAGTACGGGAGGTACCGACAAAATGCTTGTCCAAGACAAGGACATCATCAGCGGGGAGTCCTTGTGTGAGTTGTTTGTAGCTCCTGGTCATGGACAGACTAGCAGGGCCCATGCCGTCGGACACCATGAAGATAAGGTTCCGTTTGCCAGCGGGTTTCGTCCAGGGATCTTTCGAGCGATCTGGACCTCGACTGGATTCATGTTGGTAAACGACGGAAAGGACGATGACAGCTACTGTAGCAATGAGGGCCCAGGTGAAGAGGCCGAGCTCTTTCCAGAAGCTCCATCTGCGGCGTCGGTCACGGTCGGTGCGGATCCCGGTTAGCAGGGCGTCCTCCTCCTCGGCATTCCGAATGGAGGAATGGTCGGACGAGGGGCGCTGGGCCAAGAGAGGCTCTTCACGCGCCATAGTATTGTGAGAGGCCCTCTAAGAATGGATAGAGGAAGAATCAGATGAACGGGGAAGATTAGAACATGGGAGGAGAGATGGGAGGTTGGACAGGAGGAGGTGAGTAACAGGCGGGAAGATCATCCGGGGTTGCACTTGTTGGCCTGAGCTAACCCCCGATTAGTCCAGGCCACTCTCTTGCTATTTCGGGTATCGCGCCGCCCGGGGATCGCCGTCGACGTCACATGGATTCTGACACTAGTGATGCTATACAGGACTAGACCATGATCACTAGGCTAATATGACGGTAAATCTCATTATCTTTTATACATACATACATACAAGAGTGGATGGGACATTCTAAAAGGGAGAGGAGAGGACTCCCTCAAGATAAGAACAACATTCACAACGGTAGCCCCGAACATCACAGCAACCACCGGGTAGCCCCAGAGTATCCAGGGTCCAACAACCCCTAATATGACCGCTCAGACACCAGCTCAAAAACAACTCTACCTCCCCTTCCAACCGATCGGAATCATAGCAGCAGCAATCTCCGACACACCTCGCTCCGTAGCCAGCAAATTGAACTGCGCAGCAGCATTCCTCGTGTCCAACACTTCCACCCGAACTCCCAGAGAGTTTATGTGTCTCTTAGTCTCCGGCGACAGAGGGAACACAGTCTCTCCCATACCAATGATCAACATATCTAGACACCATCAAGAGACACAGATTAGCCACGCATTTTCAAAATCATAAGCCATCACACAACCACCCCCGTAGCCAAGAGAATAAATAAAAGCAAAAGAACATACCCGGACGGGGCCAAACGAGATCCAAAATTCCCCACGCATGCTCCGGGACCTCAAATTGGCCCTTCTGATTGACCATACTGTTCTTCCCTGCTTCAGCACCCTGCCACGGCCGCCAGACAAAGGCTTCTCCGCCAACAAGGAACACTCCGTTCCCACCAGTGATTTTGACGCCATTGTCTAGATGGAATCCCGTATCTAGAGTAGCGTCAATAGCGGTCGTCGGGGCGGGGATGTTGCCTAGCACGTTGAGTGCACCAAAGTCCGTCTGGGTGTCTTCCTTGGACGGCGGGCCGCGGTCTCGACTGGAGGGCTTTGCGCTGTGAGCGCGAGGGATCATCCGGGTCGGACGAGCATCGTTGCTGTTGTAGCGGTGGAACGTGAGGGGGGAGGAGGTAATCCGAGCAAGAGGGGAGATGGAGCGAGATGCGAGTTGTGTGCAGATTGCGCTGGCGCCGCAGTTGGGGGAGATTGAGGTGCGCAAGGCGCGGAGGAGTTGGGGAGACGGAGGGTGCATTGTTAGGCGTTTGATGTTGTATAATACTGCAGAGGCGTCTATTTTCTTCTAAATGAGTATAGAGTATCCGATGGACTGTAAAGTGTTCCGAACCTGTGAGGTTCTCGAGGCGAGTCGAAGAAGTTGGCAGTATCCGTTGTCTGAAGAAATGAAGAGCGGAGCAGCCGAGCTTGGGAAATCGAGAATCCGGAGGTTGACTGCCTCAGGCAATGTAACCCCGGCCTGGCGGCAATTGGCCAATGGAACGCCCGCAAATAGTAAACGTTCTTCGCAGCAATGTAAATAGGTTCTATTATACTACGAGGTTCGACGAAGATACACAAAAGAATCTTATGGAATTAAATACTAAAAGATGCTATCGATCAGTATCGTAGATGTCGTGTGTCAAATGCAACTAGTCTAAAAAATTTTATTCACGGTTCCAACCATTTTGTACGTCCCTTACCGAAAAAGAAAAAGGGGGCGAGGTTGATGTTCGATATAAAATGACAAGTGAACAATGTGTCATGTAGTCGTGAGTGGCTTGAAATGCAATTGCCCCTAAGGGAGCATTTACAAGGGGGAGATAGTCCCGGGCGATTCTGTTAAACCCAATAAGATGCTATATCTCCCACCCCGTCATTCACAAACGTTCAACGCGGATGCAGAGGCGTCTCCGTCTGGAGTTGGCTAGCTATGCCTACCGAGTGCTCACCGAGCTGTCTCCTGCCCTTTGCGGCCATCGTCACCGGGCTTGTCGGCCGGCTTCCGGTCCTCGTCGGACTGACTGGAGCTATCATCGGCGGCACCCGATGTAGATGCGCTACGCAAGCGTTGAGCGCGATCTTGAAGTACTTGGGCTTCCGCGGCGGCTCTCTGGGCACGAATCTGTTTACGCCACATGCTGGCATACCGGCCTTTCATTGCCAGCAATTGATCGTGAGTGCCACTTTCGGCCACTCGGCCTTCATGCAAGACTACTATCCTGTCCGCCGTAGTAATGGTACTCAGTCGATGAGCAATGACAAGCATCGTCCGCCCACGGGAAAGGCTTGACAGCGCGCCCTGAATGTGCTCCTCGGTTTCTGTGTCCAGCGCAGCAGTCGCTTCATCCAGAAGAATAATTCGCGGGTTCTTGAGGATGGTCCGAGCAATGGCAACCCGCTGCTTCTCTCCGCCGCTGAGTCGGAGACCGCGCTCACCGACTTTAGTATTATATCCATCGGGGAAGGACATGATCTTGTCGTGGATGCTGGCAGCACGGCAAGCTTCATAGACCTCCTCATCCGTCGCGTCCTGATTGGCATACTTCAAGTTGTACATCAATGTCTCGTTGAAGAGCACCGTGTCCTGTGGCACAACTCCGATGTGCTTTCGGAGCGAATCGATTTTGATACTTTCCACGTCGTGCCCATCTACACGGATACGACCCCTCGTCGCGTTATAGAACCGAAAGAGTAGACGGAAAACAGTAGATTTTCCTCCGCCTGACTCACCCACCAGAGCTGTGGTTGTCCCGGGCTCGCAGCGGAACGTCAGCCCATTCAAGGCTGGTTTCCGGGTGTCATATGAGAACTCGACATTTTCGAACATGATATCGCCCTTGCATACTGGCAGGGGCCTGGCGCTGGGTCGATCGACCACGGTGGGCTGTTCCCTGAACAATTCCAACAGCCGCTCTGAGTTGATCATGGCTGACTGGATGGAACGGTAAAAGGTGCCAAAGAAGTTCAAGGGCCCTTGCAATTGGGCCATGTATGTGAGGAGTGAAACAAACTGACCAACATCCCGCTGTCCTAACGATACCTGATAAGCCGCGATAAAGCATGCAATCAGCAAACCTAGCATGAAAACGGTGTTCTGCGATGTATTCAGCAGATTGAGGGAGAAGAGAACGTGGTATTCGGCCTTCTGGAAGTCAGACACAGCATTCCTGTATCTGCCAAATTCATAATCCTCCGCATTGAAGTATTTCACGGTTTCATAGGAGACCATAGAATCGTTCCTAGCCATACTATAAGCTTTGCACAAAATTAAGTGTTAACCGGTAATATCGAGTACTTACTTAACGGCGTCTTCTTGCCGGGACTTGTTGACCATCTCTCTGCGGATTTCCGCTCGCCATTGTGCCATCCGCACGGTGACGTAGAGGTAGCAGAAAGTGACGATAGTCACCACGAGCGCATAATAAGCGTCTAGGAAGACAAGGAAGAAGACGATCGCAACGCAGAGGTCAACCAACATAGGGACGACCTGAAAGGTGACTTGTTCGAGGAATGTATTGATCGAACTACCTTTGCTCAGGGCAGATAGCACCTCACCCGTCTTTTTCCCAAGGTGGAAATCGAGACTCAGACCATGTACGTGCTCGAAAGCCGCAGTTGAGAGCTCCATGTAGGAGTACTGGCTCACAGGTATCCAAAGATTAGACCGCAAAGAACCGATGAGACCCTGGTTGCCCTGCAACCACCGGTAGAGAATGTAGAGGCAAATGTTGAACCACGGAACTCGAAACTCGCCGTCTTGTTTGGAGAGCATGTTGGTGATAACACCTGCCTGGTATGGAACCAGCACATTGACGATCCGTTGCAGTACAATTAGCAAGAAGCAGATGACCACTACTATCTGCAACCGACGAGATTTTGATGGCCATAGGTATGGGAAGAATAGTGAGTAACCGCTAAGATACTCCCACCAACTAGTCGACGGAACAGTAGTCGGGCGAACCCACGGGTCGGCGGGCTTGGAAGCCTGCGCGTGACCATTCGTTGAGCCGTAGGCATTCCCATTTTCTGCGTGGTGGCCGTTAAGTAATCCCGTGGTCTCATTGACCCCATTGACGTGACCGTGAGCCCTTTTGGAGTTGAAGTTGAGCGTATTGAACATGTAGGACATGACCATAGCCATGAGGAACAGTACCCGGACACAGTTCAGGACTACCTCCGCTAACTCCCACGGCGTTATGCCTTGTCTCAGACGACCACCAACAGGGTTCCCAACCACAGGTTCGCGGTGTACGTCGGAATAGATGGAGAGGGAGGTGCCTAGGATACCCAATTCAATCGGAATCGCCACTAGCCATGGAATGAATTGAGCGAAGGTTGGAGAGGGGTTTGTATCCAACAAAGAGACGAGTATGATCGCGTAGTCGAAGAATGAGCCCACGACATAGATCTAGTATCATTAGCAACTACGTCCCTCCCGTTTTTTTGAGATTCCAAGCTTGGCTTGGAATCAGAACTAAAAGCTGAGGCAAGGCAGAGGACTTACCACCACTGATTGGCCACACCACCAGTGTTCCGATCTTGCAATCATCACATGGGCCACATTAAGGGCACCATCAGCGGCGATTGTCAGCAGTACGCCGACAGACAACCACTTAAACAACAGTTTTGTGCGTTCTGAGAACTTTTGCGGTGCCTTGATCACGGTCATTGTACTCCGGGACCGTTTGGGAAGTGGTCGCCCACCGGGGCCGGTATGTACGGCATTGGCGTTCTTGTTCGCATTTCTAGCCGTAACAATGGAGCTCGCAATGAAGGAGGCGACAAATATGAGGAGCAGAATAATGGGCGATGCGATGCGCAAATACGCCACCGTATCGCGAGTTGCGTGTTGGTAACCCATGATGTGCAGTCCTCCCAATTGGCCGATATAGAATCAGAAGACCATTTAAGGTATTTCCATGACCTAGCGACCACCTTCCTCTTCTAGATTGACGCCGAAGGCCGCAAGATGCGACAGGTCCACACTCGTGAGATGACGGGGATATATTGAAATAGGATGGTAGGAGGCGAAAGCTGCTCCGAAGTTTTTGGCGATCGAAGGAGCCAAAAGTTGTAATGGACTGGGGGTGGATCGACAAACACGTGGGAAGAGTAGCCTCTTCTTCAATCTTCTATTAAGCTTAGGAATGGGGGAGAAATGTCTCTCTCTTAACCAAAAACGACAGGCGGAATAAGAAAAGAGGGAAAAAGAAAATAAAAATGTCTCGTAGAAAAGAAAAGGGCAATGGAAGAGTAGGGGGAGAAAATAAAAAAAGTTTTGTTCAATAAGTACAGGAGAAGAATACAGATAGGCTAATCCCGAAACTATAAAAGAGGAGTGAAATGAAACAAGATCCGGGAAAGACTTGCACCAGGGAAGATGATATCAAGCAGGGAAAACAAAGAAGCCCCAGCAGGGAGGGGGGAGGCCAGCGGAAGAGAGGGAAGGAGGAGGGAAAGACGGAAGAAAGAAAAGAGCAGGTAGGGAAAGACAGGAAGAGAAGATAGCAAGAGGCAACACGCGAGAGGAAAGGATCGTTGGAGGATACAAATAGTAACTGGACGGTCGAGGAAGAATGACGGTGTGGATGCGAAAGCAGCAGTCGAGAACCCAGACTAGCCGGACCCAAAGCTACTCCAAGCTTGGTTGGCTTCGGAAGGCGAAAAATGGGAATCGGATCCAGCTGAACCAGAGTAGGGGGATCAAATCAAATCAAAATAAAAAATCAATTTATTATTTAGTTTATATGAAGAAGAAGAAGGATTGTAATTAAATGATTTATTTAAATCATAGGAACGGTCAGTCGCTCTTCTTTGCTTTCCTTCTCTCTTTCAACGGTCGGTTTGCTTTGCTTTGCTTTTTTTTTTATTCCATTTATTCCATTTTATCTCATTTTCTTTATTTTTTGGGGGTGAAATTCTTCGAGGATGATCAGATGCAAAATCGAAGGTGTTGATTATATGCCTCTTGCTTTTTCTTTTTCGTCATTTTCGTCCTTTTTCTTTTTATTTTTCCCTCTTCCCCCCATATTCCTTTGCATGCTGTTCCTCCCCACCATTGCTTAAATGTTACGTGTCGAGGAGCAAGGTGTGGCTAAAACAGCCCAAAGTAGACAAAAAAAATCAAAAATTTAACGGGGTGTTTAATTTTTGTCTTTTTCTCAAAAGGCGGAGAAAAGGACGGTGTGCTAGAATGAATGATCAAACTACAGTGTTGTACGTAGCTGTTTGTCAGTTCCAGTAGGGAAGGAAGTAAGTACCTGCTCAAGGCGCTGTTCATGGCCATTTTCTCGGGTCGGGGTGGATTTGACCAAATGATTCGTGCCCAATGGGAACAGGGGTTGGAATGAAGGTTCGAGACTTGAGGGAAAGGAGGACAATTCGGCCGCCGACGGTCACGAACCCTCAAGAAGCATTTAGGAAAGAATGGAAGCCTGAGTAAATGACTGACTTACTACTCTGTTGAGTACTCGCAGCTATACTAACTGTGGGGTACAAGAAACCAACTCCTGGGGCTTGACCATAAGATTCGAGCGAGACATACCTATTGCATACATACATGATCATACTGCTACTTACACACAGCTTCTACTACCACTGCGTACTGCGATAAAGTTACTATGTACATACTACCACCAGCTACAGGTAGATACCCGGTACAGTAGCTGCAAGCCAACCTGTGAGTGGAAGGGTAGAGATCGTTGTGTAACCCTCGATAGAAGAGAAAGAAGAAAAAGAGATTGACGATCTTTTCAGGGCTCAGATGTAAACACTTACTGTAAACTAAAGTGAAAAATAATACAAAGAGAAAAGGCCAACAGGAGGGGGAAAAACTCAGGGCGTAAGGATAGTGTGGTCGTGACAGATCTCGATGGAGGAGGGCGAGGCGCAGATCGATGCGAGAGGTAACCCGCAGCGGACGAATGATGGAAGGCCTGGCCTGCAACAGCAAATAGCCGTCCGGGGATTCCCTGGAAAGCTGTTTGCTGGGATGCCTGAGCAGCTCCTTGAATGGCTGCTGCTGGCCTGCTGAGACTGCGAGATGTTGAGAGACAGAAGGACACATCACTCCTGCTGGCCCCTTCCCACGATCTTACCGGTCCCCCTTGGTTACTTAGATATATGAACATGGATCATTTTTGATTGATCGAGTCCTTCAAAATCATGCAGGAGGGATGATCTTTGGGTGCCGTAGGTGGGTGACAGCTTCAGGGACAGTATTCAAAAGGAAATGTGGTCCGGTCGCTTTCTCCATGGTGGGCGAGAATTTCATCCTATTTACCCTGAAAGGTAAAGTATACAGCAGTGACTAGAAGTGATGGTAGGATCTTGCACCTTGGACCGTTTGATTTGGAGAACAGGGCGGAGAATTTCTTGCTTCAAGGGCAAGGCAACGCAACACCATGATCATGGTGTCCGTTATTATCACCCGACCAAAAAAAAGTTCCCCCCCTCTCCGCTGTATGACCCAGCAGTCGGTCGCTACAATGCGGGGAGGGCTGGAACCGATCATGTTCTTCAAGTTGAGGATGCATCGCCATTGCCATTTCGACGAGTCATTCCTGGTACTAGTCTTTTAGCTTGTCCCACCCAGCAAGTCCCGAGTGTCCGGATGATCTAAAACCGCGCCTGGAATGTACGGCCCTGGATGCGCCTCTCCCCTCCACCCTCCCTTTAAGTAAAAAAAATCTAAGACATGACATGACTACCACTGCCTATCGGTTTCATGAGGCTTGAGTAACTTATTTCTGTTGTTGCATGGTAGAGCTTCCGATAGGTCGACACTGCGAAATAAGCACGTTGCTGGGGGTTGGTCAAATAACCCTCGACAGCTCTAGCTGTAGTAGCCTCTCCTTCCCTTTCTCCTCTCCCTCTCCCTCTCCCTCTCCAAGTACTGTCAACAGGTGCCAGAAGCTAACCCAACTTTGTGAGTTAGCAGTAAGCGTCATGGAGCCGATCGAACCCATCCACCGTTGGATTCACACACCGCCTTGAAACCTGCATGCAGGTCGGATTTCCTCCAGCCTTTCCTAATCTGCACCCGTCCATCCTTCCGTTCATCCAGAACAGTTCTCCGAAACCAACCATTCAATTGCTCTCTACCCATGGTAACCACTTGATTAGCGTCAACGCGTCGATAGATAGCTGAATGTTTGTCTGAACGGGCCCCATGCTGTACTTTTGACACTCCCCTACATGGAGGGGAGGGGCTAGACAAGTCTACTTTTGACTTTGTGAGTTATCAGCTGAACAGACCGAATTTATATATTTGTTTTTCTTATCCTACGTTCGTTGCCCTTCTTTCCTGGAATTCGCTGCTTGTCAATGACTCTGCTCATGGACCTCGCATCTCACTTTCTGATTCTGGGGGAAGGATGGACGAAATTAGGAACCATGATGGAGAGGATACGGCACGCTAAACCCACTCAGGAGCTGCACATCACGGGGTGTTGCCACGCTGGGGTGGGTTACCTAATAACCCACTAGCGGCGTACTCACTAGCTCCGAAACCGGACTAGACTCGATCGGGGAGGAAAGGCCCGGATGGGAAACTGAGGTTCAAGCGGGATTATGGATCGGGTGTCAAAAGTAAAGGCGGCAAATGGCACTATTTACCGTCAATCATGTTGACTTATGGTTATACTACTCATGAACATGATATTACAAAGATAATTAGTATGATGGAAGAAAGCTTACGCTGTAGCAGAACTACATTCAGTACTAATAGTTCTCTGAATCAGGAGAGCTTTGATCAATTGAAGTAGTATGTATTAGTAACAACTGACCAAGGTAACTCTCGTAGCTATGATGATGTTTTCACCAAATATATATCACTATATTGTTAGTGGTAACTATCTTCAATCAAGTTCATGTCCATCCCATTAGTGGTGTAATTAAATTTCAACTTTACTACTAGTAGTATAATTTCCACTGCATAGTTTACTTGCATAGTGCAGGCTGCCTGAAATCATCTCCACTCATTCTTCTTCCGTGAGGGAATTGGAGCTGGTGGTAAGTCACCAGTTCAACCTCATCACAACACAAACCACTACTACCGAACTTCAGCCCATCCACATCCTCACCTCACCCAAACTCCGCCTCCCCCTTTCCTTTCTTTTCTTTTTTTTTACTTTTCCCCACCACCACCACCTCCTTCTTCTCCTTTCAGTAACTATCACAGTTTTGTACTTGTCATCGGAATCCATTCGTTTACCAGGATGGAGCCCCGATCTCATTCGGGTTAACGTGTTCTGTGGCTGAGTGATCTCTTGACACACACACACACACCTCTAGGCTGGCAATCATGTCCGACTTCTCACGATTGCCCGCCCGAGGCAGCTCCTCACCAGCACCTCCGCCTCCCCCACCACCAGCTCCCGTGCAACAGAGTCACAAATATTCCAACCGCGCGGCCAGTGCTCTGGCAAGATTCGCCCAGCCCTTCTTCTCAGGGTCTCGACCTCCTAGCCCGCACACGGCGGGAAGTCGTGCAGATTTGTCTGCTGGTCCCCGTTCAACAAGGTCCAAGTCATTGTATAGCTCACCTTTGCTCCTCTTCCCCCTCCCCCCTTCCCCCTCCCTCTCTCCCCTCCCTTAGCACACCTACATAAATTACTCTTTATTAGCTACCCACTTTGTTTTCCTTACTACTAGCTGACCCCCCCCTATCCGCTTTGTCCCTTGCTTCTTTATTTGGCTCCCCTCCAGTTTCATCCGATTCGCCGCCTTTTCACGCGCTTTCTATGCTAGATCATGCACCACTTTCTTCTTGCGAGAACCTTTGCAGACAAAATACTGGGAGGGAAAAATAAGAAGAAAAGAAATTGATCTGTTAACATTATCACTAGACCTGGAGCATCCCAAACTGTTACGCATAAGACTGGTATCCCTATTGCCGCTCTAGATATCTCCCCGCAGCGGACACATGCAGTCATTGGCGGAAAGGAGATTCTGAAGACCATTCGCGTTTCGCCTGATCATTCTTCCGAGGAATTCAATCTTCGCAATGCTATCATCAGTTATTCATCCACCCACCATGGTGGGAGTGGACTCTCCGCCCGGCATAAAGACCAGCTGACTGTGAGAGATGTCAAGTGGTCACATGGTGAGTATGACCAGATTATTGCCACGGCGGTGGCCAATGGCCGCATCGTGGTGTATGATCTGCGCCGAACTGGCTTGGAATGCTGCCGATTCCAGGGCCACAGCCGCCAGGTCCATCGGTTAGCCTTCAACCCGCACCATGCGTCATGGCTTCTATCGGGGAGTCAGGATTCTTCCATCCGAATGTGGGACTTGCGGACAGCTTCTGCGGAACGTGGCGTCTTGGTGTGTGGGAGTTTGGATCTGTTCCACGGTAACAGTGATGCCGTCCGGGATATCAGGTGGTCGCCAACCGACGGGGTCATGTTCGCAACTGCAACAGACAGCGGTGCGATACAACTGTGGGACTGCCGCAAGTCAAGTGCTCCGTTAATGCGGATTACTGCCCATGACCGCCCGTGCTTCTCGGTAGACTGGCATCCTGATGGGAGGCACATCGTCAGCGGTGGTACAGATAGACAGGTGAAAGTCTGGGATTTTTCTTCCTCTGCCGAACGCCGACAGAAGCCAACCTTCCAATTTCGGACCCCTCAGGCAGTTCTCAACGTCCGATGGCGTCCTCCTTCGTGGGCTAGGGAACCGGAGGGCTCTGGTGATTGGCAGTCATCCCAAGTAGTGACATCTTACGACAAGGAGGATCCGCGAGTTCATCTTTGGGATCTTCGCAGGCCACACATACCGTTCCGCGAATTCGATCGGTATGATGCTCATGCTACTGACTTGCTCTGGCATTCCAAGGACCTGTTATGGACAGTAGGTGAAGCTGGGGCCTTCACCCAAACTGATATACGATACGCTCCCCAGGTTATCAACCAACGCCCGACATGCTCGGTGGCTTGGAGTCCGAGCGGTGAAGTCCTAGCCTTCGCCCAGAAACGCCCCCAACGTAGTACTCTAGGTCTCAGCACCACTGAGTTCGTGG